GATGACCATGAAAGAGAAAAATGGAACTAAATTTCAATTTAAACCCTAAAAATCCTGAGAGCCAGGGCCGGCTGGACGAGGAGAAGCCAAACCTCGAGATCTACTGTAGAGCCAGAAGCACCTCATTCGCCGACCTTCGAGCAGGTGTCCTGTGACTCACCTGGGAGGACACTGCCCGTCTTCCTCCCCCAGAGCTGCCACTGGGTTTGAACCAGCAGAGAGGTGCCCCCTTTTAATCAGGAGCACCACTTCCTGTCCACTGGCCACCAGAGGGAGAAGAGCCTAAGATCTTGGAATGTCACATGTAATCAAATGGATTCATGAAACAGCGTTTTTGAATTTATGAAGGTTTCCTATGATTCCCTTCCCTCTTCCATTAAAAAAAAAATCACTAGAATTCTTTTCTACTCTTGTTACTGTTTGATATGTACAGTCAAGTGGCCTGCAACTCACAGTGACCTTATGTCCAACTGCTCTGAACCCTGCTCTATCCTGAGCCAACCTCACTGTCTCTAACACACCCACCCCCACAACCCCAGTCATAGACTCTGTCCATCTCACCCAGAGTCTCCCCTCTTTTTTTCATGAAGATCTTTATCTCCTTATTCAACCCATCCTTTTACGTAAAATAAATGCAGAATGAAAGTACAAATAAAGGGCGAAACAGCCCTCAGAGCACACTGTTTCTCACAATCTTCTATTTAAAAGTCTTTCCAAGCGCTGAAAAGATTCGAGAGGCCACAGAGGAGACTGGAGCCAACGGTGCTCATGCCCCTGGCTGGTCCCCGCACCCCTGGCTGGTCCCCCTATGATTATTTCCTTTCCAAGACCCTCAAAAAGCACTGGTCCACCTAAGGGCGTGGCTCCAGCTCACCTGAAGAGTGTCACCCTTTCATTAAATCCACTCCTCATCTGCATTTCCAAGCTCTGCTGCAGGGGAGACCCAGGAGCTGAGGGGGAGCTGTGGCCGTGAGTCTGCTTGGCGATACCTGCTGACCCAAGGCCAGGGCTCGCTGGCCTTCTGCCCATGTTTCCCCAGGGGCTGCTGGTGGATTCCATCTCTTCTCATGCATTTTACAGCCTCAGAGACCCCAGGGACGGGTCGGTGAGGAGTTGGCTGTGAGTCGGCCACAGTAGGTTGAATGAACTTGCCACAGTGGGCTGCCTTTCAATCTTTCAATCATGAAGTGAAGTGTGCAAGTTACTCACGTGGCATCAGTAAGGGGGTGGAAGGATTCCATTCTATTCTGCTAACAACATTCATGGGAGAGACACTAAAGTGTCTGCCTATGGAACTTACATGCCGTATTTCAGCCAAAATTCCTTTTTATTAAAATATCCCTGTAGTCAGTTATTACAGATTTTTTTTTAATCCAAAAGAGAACACTGGTGATCAGCCCAGCTTACACTTACGGGCACAAGTACACGGCTAAGCCCATGATGGTTTAGTCTGCTTTGTTAACCTTGTGCCGCACTCGGTAAGAGTCCTTACCACCCACTCACAGTGACACCGAGTCTGAGGCTTCGGCTGTGCCGGCTCCGAGCACACTCTGCCGTGCTGGCTGCAGCCACGGTTTTCATAATCACTGATTCCTGCCAAGTTTTCTCGGGTTTCTGCTACAACATTGTGCACCTTTACCAACAGCTTTGGGAAGGAAGCAGTTATTAGAGAAAACTTCTGCAGCTACTAATAAAATAACTTGTACTGCTGTGAACCAATGTAGAAAAGAGTTTACAAAACAATTGATGTTAGTGGCCGTACAGTCTCTAATATGACATCCCAGGTACGTATCACACGATTCTACTGGCAACACTGATCCCCACTGCCGGCAATTCTGTACGGGCCGGTACAGGAGACGACACCTGGGCTGGCAGGGTGACATTCTGCTCTACAGCACTATGTCACATCAACCTCAGTGATGTCAGCTAATGAACTTGACCTCTTTGAGTCTCAGTTTCTTGATTTGTTACAGTGACCGAACTATACTGTGACAGTTCCTGTGGGCCCTTGATTTAGCCTGGATTCACAGGGACACTGCTTACTGAAGAGAGCTATTTAAAATCAAATAGGGACAAGATTTTTCTACATTCAACCAAGCATAAGGGACTAAGCTGTGCCCGCCAAGTACCTGTTATAGACAGTTCTCTACAAAGAGCGTCCTCACCTTTGGGTGTTGCGGTCTTCTTTGGAACGCCAAATTCTGAATCCGAGTCCGAATTGATGGTCTCCACTTTCTTCTGCTTAGGAGTCCTCTTGGGCTTAGGGACTGTATCTGAGGTTGGTTTTCCTATAAGCAAATGTCCATTTCATAGGTCAATGTACTCGATATACTAACAAAGTCAAGTGAGAGCTGTAACAGTGCAGCTCTCAGCTGAGAGGAAGCTGCATGGTCTTAGTGACGGAAGGGCCTCTCTGTGTGGTCCTGGGATGAAGACAAGTTCTCAAAAATGACAAAATGCTTTTAAATTAGGATTAATCTGCTTTTAGATTATTCTAGTGAGACATTTTAAACAAGGTCCATTAAAATTAATTGAGCAGCAACTTTTAAATAGTACATAAATAATCACGACTGAAAAATCCCATATTTGACATATTCATTTTAACTGAAGTCTAACCACATAGTAAGAACTAACACTTAAAATGTGTTAAAAGAAAAACATTTTTATAGGCTCTTCAAATACCATGAACAGAAACAGGTTCACTTTCATTAAAAAGCTGAAACCTAGACTTGACACTTTTATATGAAGAGAGAGATGAAAATCCAAGATAATTAGATAAAAGAGCTCAAGATCTTTGCTTTAACACATTTTGTTTAAATGTAAGCCTTGTTTTCCACCTTCAGTGGCAGTTCTATGTAACTGTTCACTTACATGATTAACAAAACCTAATTTAGGGGGAAATAAAGAACTGACAGAACAAATTCAAATAACATGCAGACGCTCCTATTCAAATAAATTTAGAAGCGGACTCATGCGGATTCTCTGGGAAACGGAATTCCATCCCTATCTGGAGCATTCCGCACAGCCAGCAGGAGCTTACATGCCTGTAAGCACAGCCTCGGCCTTTCCTCCCGGGACGTCACAACCACCTACACGGTCCCAAGAACCACACACATTCTGAACAGGAGCACAAGCTGTTTGAAAGACAGGCTGTGAACAAACACCTTTCAACTCTACAGGGCATACACAAGTCTCTTTCCTGAGTACCATAGGCTGCCTTTTTACTGTAAATAGTCTAGGGTATAGGTTTTAACTTGTAAAATAATTTTTATTTATGATCAATATAAAAGATCCTGCAGAGGATATAATGCATCTATTTTTTTGACAAGAATATTTTCTGAGAAACCGTAAGAAAACAAAAGCGTGTTTAGGCTTCCTGAAATCCCACGACACCCATCCAGCTGACACACAGCTAGTTCAGCACTGGAGAGACAACCAAATATTACTCGTCACGCTAGTTGAGCCTACTAGGTAATGCTATGCACTCTAACTCATTTGGTTAAACACGTGGACACAGGTGGATGAAGGAAACAAGGTGATGTCTTCAAAGAAGTGAAATGGCTGCGAAGGTTTTAGACAGGTGCTAACAAGACCATTTTAAAAAACACATAAAAGGAAAGCAAAGGCTGGCTCAACTTCCGCTAACCCAGCCTCCCTGGCTCCCCTTCTCAGTCCTAAGACAAGGATTCAGGTACAATGTCCTTCGAGAAGGAAGAGGGTGTAAATGAGACACGGAAGCCAGGAATGAGTAAGTTAGCAAGCCGCTCATCACGCCTTCGGATTGGCAGTGAAGTTCTTTACCACGAAGCCACCAGCACTCAGAGAACTTGCAGGAAATCCTAGAGTTAGTCCCCCTGAGGGCGAGGGCACAGAGCCATTTCCAGACCAGTGCCCCTAGATCTCAGCACAGCAAGAAGAAAATGCTCGCCACTGGGCACAAAAATGAGAAAGGGACTGGTTTACCGGAAGGCTGGTCAACAAGTTAACCGACTGGCGAGGCTCCTGGAGTCCCCAGTTCTCACCATAATACAAGTATATTTGGAATCAGACCTTCTTCTGTTCTGTTGCATTTAAGATATGTTAGTCTCTATGGGGTGGTCTGTTGGCGATTTTCCAAGACCCCTAAAAGCTCACAGGATTTCTTTACCTGATGGCTATATATAGCACCCAATTAGACAGCTGCTGTTTGGTTTTGCTTTTCTGAAGGGCTCTATTTCAAACACATGCATTAATTAGGACCTTCTTCACAAGGAGAGCACGTATGAGGGGCTGATTCATCAACCACTTCTGAGCATTTCATGAACATCTGAGACTATGGAAACAGCTGCACGGCTCATAGAGGAGGAGGTTTCCCAGGGAACTGGCCTACAGTCCACGTGACGGGCGAAGCCATGCTCAACGTAAGTAAGAGTATTAGGCTCCTGCCAAGACAGATGCCAATCCCCTTAACAGCCTCACAAGCTGCTTTACTAGGCAGCTATCTTTAGATAGACGTGCAGGCGATTATTTTATAATTGTAACAGCTTCAAAGTGAGGTCTGGTGGACATTGTCATAATTTTCTACTTAGAAAATAGGATATTCTCCTTTTAAATAAATATTCCTTAACCTTTTTAGTAAAGTCTTAATGCAAATAGCCTCAAATGACTTCCACCTTCCTTTAGATCTCTACATGTGTACTCAATGGCGAACAAAATCAAGTACATACCCTTTTTAGCAGCTGCTGTTTTATTTGGAACTTTATCCATTTGTTTCAAACCAAATGATGGTGAAAAAACAGAAGCAGAATCTTCTTCATTGCTGTCAAATTTAGCTGAATCTAGAAATTGCAAAGCTTCTGTCAGTAAAGAAATGATATAAACACCTCTTAGTAGCTAAACTTAAGTCTTTACTTGATCATTCCTCTTTAAACTTTCTATTCTATGACCATAATATACAAACAGCAAAAGTTAAAAATACCAATGTTATACTTCAAAACATTAACTCTATTGTAAAACAACACAGAAATGCAGAGTAAGAAAATTATTAAGTGTTCAATGACAAAAAAATAATTTAAAATATTAACTGATCAGCTTTAAAATCTCCCTGTATTATTTTAGTATCTTTGCAGCTAATTCTGTTTAAAGAAGATTAGTAGTAGTAATCAAATCTAAAAGGGTAAGTACTCTTCTGTTTACATCACTCAAGAGAAATTTTAAAAGGCAAGTAGGTCTACGATGGTTTCCCTTTGCCCTGAAACAAGTTAGATCAATATCTAGGCAATCTCCTTCTTTCTTTATCCCCCTCTTCGCTCAGCAAAATCAATCAAAGCAGGAACTTTCTAAAATAGCTAATGAATGCAAGTGATATTTTCCCATAACAATTTGACAGAACCAAAATGTGTATCTACATATCTATTTAGAACATGTACCAGATCTAAATAAATTTACTTATATGTATGTGTGAATAAAATTTACAAATATAAAACAGAATCATCCAGGAGGTCAAACTAGATTCTTTTCTGTGGGAAATTTTTAGACGAAAACACTGGGAAAAGAAAATATACACCATGATTCATTTTCTTCCATTATAAGCTCCAGTTTCTCAGCTACTAGGACTTAGGAACATAAACCTGAATCTGCATCTGATACTGAAAGCTTCAGCATATCATTACATTTGTATCACCAATAAAAAAAATCATATTCTCCCCTCCCAGATTTCTGCTTTTGATACAGCACTACATATTAACATACATACACACACACACACAAGCACTTGTTTGTTCTCTTATCTCCTTCCATAAAGTCTATCACCTCCAGTGAAGTTAACAAAACCTTCTCACGTTGAGCAAAATGTAAAAGGAAAACTCACTACTCAGAAAAGGCCAGGAAGGGAACCATGAATTTACAATTTGTCATTTTAAAACACGTTAATAACACAGCAATCAATAAAATGAGCATACCGTCTTCTGACTTCCGAGAGTAGGAAGGAAACGAGAAAAGATTTCCAAAATCCTGGCTTTTTTTGTCATGCGAAGACTTCCTATTGGAAAGAAAAATCACACAGGGATCGTCATTTGAGTATCTGTTTTCAAAGAAGAAAAATTAAGACTAAAAGATACTTCAACTTTCAAACTCATTCCTATCAAAGCCCCTACCATCTCCTCCTGGCCTGCCTGCTACTGAGTTTCTGCACCGCCAGCGTCACGGGAGGTGATGTCCTCCCTTGTCCCACACGCTGAGATGGATTCAAAGCCCAAGAAGCGGGGGCCTGAGGCTTTAGTGGTGCAACTCCCTCCGCACTGCACAGCTTGCGGACCAGACCAGGCTCCCCCATCCAGTCCTCCTTTACTTTGTTAAAGAAACAGCAACTAGTTTTGTTCCCCTTTCATGTGTGCTCATGTGCAAAACTAGAGGTCAGAACAGGCATACACATACACACACCAGATAATCAAGGGATCTGCTTGTTTATTTTAGCATAAAAGATGAACAGAAATTGAGTAAAGGTCTCAGTGATTCCAAATATTATTAAACTAAATTCTGTGGTGAGAGTGTGGGGGTATGGAAATCACTGCAAAATTTGTGGAAAGATAGTCTCAAAAATCTGAAGAGTCAAAAAAAAAACCATTTGAAGAGTCTCACAAACCTCACTGTGGTGCAATAGCCCACTCTCATACGGCTTTTCTCACCCTGGCCTTATAATCCCATCAAATAAGTAGATGGGCTGATCTATGCAAATGAAGTACTTGGGGACCACCAACAGGATTGGAGAGTTTGCTAATGATATAAGTAAGATGGGAAAAGCTCCCTTGCAGAGGTGGGATCACACAAAACCCTTTTCCGAATCCTAATAAGGGGAGCAGTCAGTCTGGTCATCCCACCGGACCCAAGAACCATCCCAGAGAGGGAAGGAGAGCGCAGGGCAGAGCACGGCCTTCATGTCTGTGGTGTTGCATGGGGGCCGCCTGGTCTCAGGACACAGGACACAGTGACAGCACTGGGAAGATGGCAGAACCAGGAGAGCGGAGCCAGACAGAGTAAGGGGCTTCCCAGTCCACCAAGCCAGGGGTTAAAGTGCAGGGGGCTCCCACAGCCCTGTTCCACGTCACCCTTGGGAAGCAGGCCTCCTGGCAGCAAGGTCCCTCCAGAAACTTGGCAATCCAGGTGGTAAGACAGATGAGTGCCTTCGGGGGAGGTTTCCTGGTGGACTGGGTGGCCCCGGGCACTTCCAGGCAGAGCTAAGGAGCTTCCTAACACTTGCCTAAGGGAGCAGAGTGGCCAGAGAGAGGCTATGTCCTGCGAGAGCCCTGCCGATGGGCACGGCTCAGGTGTCCTGACTGAAGCACTCTATCCTGAGCCGTTCCAGATCCTCTGTTACCTGTTTAACCTGATAAACCCTATGATTGTGAACACTGAGAGTTCTCTGTGGCCACTGAAACAAATGATCAAGCCCAACAGAGCCACAGTGGCAGGAGAGGGCTGGCTGTTAGGAGAAGTAGTGAAAAGGTGGCGGAGAGGAGCCACGTCTGACCTCCACCTCACAGGACCATCAGCCCGGGGCGGACAGTGAGGATTATCCTTCCTCTCCCCTCCTGAAGTTAAGTCTGGGCCAAGTTCTCCCACTTTCACTCAGGTTAGTATACAGATGCATGAGAGGCGAAAAGAACCAATCAAGGCCAAGGTGAAGAAGGCTAAACCTCCCAAGTCTAAGATTTAGTACGCTTTCTTTAAATGAGGGGCTGTCAAACTCTATCCCACAGGTCAGGTGCCGATTTTCAGAAATAAAATTGTATGGGACCCTCACTTGCTTACCGATTGTGGCTGCGTTCACGCCAACAAGGCAGAACCAAGCAGCAGGAGCACAGATGGCCTGCAGGGCCGTAAGCATTTACTACGCAGTCCCTGGCGGAAAAGGTCCGCCGATCCCTGCTTCAGACAGTGTCACCGTCATGGGAACAGCTGCCTGACTGGCAAAGCTTCCTCCCTCCAGAGGAGGCCCTGCAGCACAGCCTCCGAGTAACTGCCCTGTGGTTCTGTGTTACTCACTCCGGGGCAGCTCTGGATTTGCCTGGTGAGAATGTGTATTCATCTTTGTCCAAGCCGTCCGAAGGAACAAATTCATCATCTCCGTCGTTTGCTACAGGAGACGCTTTAACTTTCAATTCTTCTAAATCATTGTCATCGTCGTCATCACCATCATCATCCTCCTCTTCTGAGAAATCGAACGTGTATTTCGGTCTTTCCGCTAGGACAAAGAGAGACCCCCAACTCAAGTTCTGGTTTTATTCCTATTAAATATTATCAGAGATCCTGCACTTTGAAAATAGTCTGGCTATTTCAAACAATGCATAAGGGAGGGAAACACAAGCTTTTAGAGAATCAACTTTGGTCCCAGGTTTTTCCGCTTGGTCCACTGGAGGCAAGAAAGTGAGGCTGCCCTTCAGAAGAGCGTAAACAGGCCGGCTGGACACATGAGGGTTGTCATACTTGAAAATACACTACACTACACTACACACACACACACACACACATCACAGGAAACTGTAATTATTCCAGTCATTGAACAATGTGGTCACTGAACAATTACAAATAAAAGATTTTCCACCTCTACAATTTTAAAAAAACCAAAACCCTACAAATTTTAGTCTTTCAAAAAAGTGCAAAAGTTTCTCTTAATTCCGGAACAAAAAAACTTCTTTTTCCTCTTTGGAACATATTTTGCTCTGAAAGCACAGAAAACAGGAATTTTTCTGAACAATGAGGAAAAAAAAATAGGGAGAGAAGCCCTCAGTGAAACAGTAACATTTATCAGTAACAATGATAAATAAGGGTACCAACTATGGGAAAAAAACACATTGCAATAAATGTTTCATTCCTACCATGTATTATAAAATAAAAGTTTTAAGTCATCCAAACACCTCTAAATAGAGAGAAATAAATTAGAGAATCATATATGGGACAGGCCTAGATACTTTTAAGCATGAATTTTCCATGTCATGTAAGTTATTCATTGCTATAGACTGACTTTTATGTCCCTCCTCACCTGCCTGCCCACTTCCTAACATGGTATTTAAATCCTAACCTTTACACTTAAGGCATTCCATCCATTTGGGCATAGGACTTCCATTGTTAGGTCATGAAATGAGGTCTATGTACAGTGTGCCTTAATCCAACTACCCCTGAGATATGAAGAGAACAGAGGAAGCACTGAAGCATAGAAAGGGAAACCAGACACTAAACCGCATGAAAGTCATCTAGAACAGGAAGAGAGGCCAAGGCTTCACCCTAGAGCCGGGGCCTCTGCTCAAATTTCTAGTCTCCTCCAAGGAAAAATGTGTCTGTTCCTTAAAGTCACACACCTAGATGTGTTATAGCAGCTCTAAGTAAGTTAGATGCTCATGTGAAATATTTATCTATATATACACTCTGCGTAAATTAGGAAAGGAAATTACTTGGTGATTATAAAACCAAATGATTCAGGGCTTCATGTAATAACTGAAAACGCACGTCCCAAAAATACAACAAAAAATAGACATCCCAGAGGTAAAATATTCAAAGAGTTGTCCTACTCATTTTAAATCAGCATTTCACAAATGTTTAGAAGAGCCTATCCAATAAGAAATTCACATATTTTTAATTATTTGAAAATTTCAAGTTAAGAAATATTTAGATAGGATCAAATCATATATGTATTAATAGTAATACATAACAGCAAAATGGGATTCTGTGGTCTCTCTACTCAATCATCTCAGAGAACTGTGTGGAGGGAATCAAACTCTTAAAGCAAGAATTTTTTTCACAATATGAATAGAAAGCAGAACTAGAAAGTCCTTCCAGGACATTCTCCACAGCTGGTGAACCACCAAAGTACAGTTTGCCAACCTTGTTCACACTATGAAAAGAACTCCAGCTGTAATATTAAAAAAAGAAAAAAAAAATCACTAAGAATATATGGCTTGCTTTTCAAAGAATGTGCTTGAACTACATCTTTGCTAATGATCTGAAGCAGTCTGGTTTCCAGTTGTGGTTGTTGTTGCTGACTGCCACCGAGGTGAGCACGACTCACAGCGACCTATGAACAAAATGCCCCAAGCCTTTTATAACTCTCATCATAGATCAAAGCTCACAGAGTTTCCAGAGGTATGATGTTTAGGAAGTGGATGCCACTTTTATTATTTTTTAATTTGTTGGATCTCTGTGAACAAAACTTCTGAAATACAAACCAGTTTGAATAAAAAGAACTTAGTCTAACTACAAATAGTTTGCAATAGCTACAGAAGAAGGTGTAATACCAGCTGCTCTCCTCAGCAGAGAATCTCTCGGAATCACCACAGGCTCGGTTTCTTCCAAGTCACTTTCTGACTTGGATTCATCATCTGACCAAGGATTTCGTTTCTTCACTTTCTTGGTACTGGATTTACCAGCAGATGTAGGCGTTTTTCTGACCCTGGTACCTAAAAACAGAAGGACAGCAGTTTAGATACATATCAAGGTTGACACGAATGTTATGGAAAACAACGAAACTGCTATAACAAAAGGTTAATTGTAAAAAAAACCTTGTGAAAACTGAAGGGCTCCCTTTAACTACAAAGTCTGAAGAATCTAGTAGTTCCTTCTAAGGGTTTCTTCCCCGCTCACAAAAACAAAAGTCCTTTCTAACAATTCTCACCAGGCTCCTTCTTCTCTCTTTTGGGTTTGGGGCCTTTACTGGGAGGAGCTGATGGGGTCAACCCCTCTTCTCCTGCCCCTTCTACTGGTGTTCCACTGAATTCTTCATCAAATTCCACTTTCACGGCTGGGGTATCAGGATCACCCTAAACATTAAACATCAAAATAAGAAATTAAATGACCACCATATAGAGATTAGAAATGTGTTTCTAGCTAATAGCTTTTCATGCGACATTGTTGGTTTTCCCACTGACTCTTCTGAGGTCCCTCCAGCACACTTTGATCAGATCAGGCTTTGCTTTATTTATTTGTCACAAACTGTTTACAGCTGTCATCTTCCAACACACTCCAGAAGGGGACAGATACTGAGAAGCTCCCAGTTACAGACTGAAGAAAAGGAGGCCGTTTCTGAACATCCAATTTTCAGAATTTGGTTCATTAATTTGAGCTGATAACTAAAAGGCTGTCAATTTGAAACCACCAGCTGCTCCATGGGACAAGAGTGAGATGCCACTTCCCATAAAGAGTCACAGCCGAGGCAACTGGTGGAGGGTCTCTGGGTGGGACTTACCTTTGGTTTGGTTTTTTGGGAGACATGCATTGCTGGCACTACGACCCTATTGTTGCTCACTGCTAATTAATTCCTACTCATGGCAACTCCATGTGTGCAGAGGACCACCGCTCCCCTGGCTTCCCCGGACTGTGCATGACTCGTGGCAAATTTCATGAGCGCAGATCATCAGTGCTCCCCAGTCCCTGGGCTGCACAGAGCCTTCTGGGATTGGACTGTCAGCCCTGCCTTCTGGCACCTGTGGATGCCTCAAACTGGCAACTCATGGACTGCAAACGGAGCCACTTAATCTCCACCACCTAGAAACTCCACTTTTGACAGTGATTCTACTGAAAATATAAGAAAAAGGAAGACTCAAGAACAATTCCTGACAATAATAACAACAAATGTTGAGACAAGAATAGCAGTTTCCCAAAGGGAAAACAGAACAGCTCTACCTAGTGGAGACTCAAGGAAAATTCGTTTCCGAATGGATTTTAAAGGTTTGCCACGGAGGGAGGAAGGAGAAAACATTCCAGGAAGACGACTCACAGGCCTGTCGCACTTCACCACTACCATCCGGTCAGTTCTGACTCCCAGCGACCCTCTATGGAGTATCCGAGGCCGCAACCTCTACAGCAGGCACACCTCCCACCAAGGCAAACAGATCAGGCAGAACCAAAGAAATGTGAGACGGGAAAGTAGCCAGATACAAATACAGAGAACACAGACAAGTCTGTACGAGATAAACTGCTTCAACCATCAATCTGTGTGCAGTCAGTGGACAATCACTCAATCTCTTAAATACCGTATCACACTCAGATTCACTTTTAGAGGTTATCATTCTGGTAATAAAAGACAAGATTGGGGGAAAGAAAGTCGAGAGGGCGACTGCCCACAAGGTTTCCTAGCTTGTAACTCTTGACAGAAGCAGACTGTCTATCCTTCGTAGCCCCTGAATTCTAAACTCAACCTGACCAGAAAAAGGAGCGTCTCTCTAGGCTCTAGGACCACTGTGCATCCTTAGTCTTCAGCTCTAAACATTATATCCAGAATTTCCACCTATGCCTAACCCCTACCCATTCCTCTGAAAAATAAGTAAATATTAGTTTACAAAACTTTAATTACATCAACTCCCCGTGAAAATGGTACAGGATGAACTTCATTTAAACCAAGGGCATATATAAAATAATAAATAGGAGATGAGCGATAAACTCCGAAAACCAAAGATAGGCTGGATACTTATCCAAAAGAAAGGGTTACATATTACACAATCTCACTCACATAATCTAACATAAGGGGGGCAGGGAATACAAAGTTTCTTAGTAGTTACCAGGCAAAGGAGGGAAGAGGTCTGGGTAGAGTGCTGAGGGGCTGATTATAGCAACAGAAACTGGGGCAATGGTGTTTGCACATCATTATTAATGTAACCAATGCCACCAAACTGTACATGGATAAATTATGTATATTATATTGAAACAGATGAGGGAAAGAACAGATTAGAAGTGATATATGATTGAGTATTATGGTTAGCACAGGAATCCAGAATTAAGGTTGCACAGAGAAGTGTACTCGGGGTGGGGGGAAGGGACGTGGGAATTGTATATTAATGAAGGAACTTGTTTTCTTTTTTTTTTTCTCTCCTCGAAGGGGGAAGCGAGCTGGTGGGGAGGGGTGGGAAGGGAGAAAATTGCGGCAATGAATGAATGGAAATCCAAAACCTCTGTAAAAAAATAAAAAAAAAATTATATATAAAAAAAATTATAAAAATGACAAACTATCAAATGTTGTGTTAAATGTATTTTTACAATAATTTTTTTTTTAAAAAAAAAGCCTTACACACCCTTAAGACTTCAATAATTGGTCAAGATACAAAATTTACAAGTTCTTAAAGATGACATGCTTGTGTTGTTAATTCTTATATGGTTTATTATCTTATACGGTTTATATTGTTATGTGGTATGAATTTAAAAGACTCCTCTACAGATTCTTTCTTGTTTTAAAAGTGGACTCAAGAAACAAGATCTTTATATACACATGATTGTGGCCAATATATTTTCCTTCTACAGATGAAAGGCATTCATTCATTGCTACAATTTAAACTATGTTCAAAACAAAATGGAACAGGATGTAAGCACACAGAAAAATGAAAACCCATTTATCCACCATTACAGAGGTGAATCTACCAAACAAGCTGAGAAACAAAGGGACACCATACCTTCTTCTTCTTCAGCAACTTTTTGCTGGCATCGGCCTTCATCGCCGTAATCTCGGGAACTATTCTCCTGCCGTAAGGCGACGGCATCGTCTCCTCCAGCTGAAGCTTCTTCACTTTCGGTTTGCCAACTTTGCCTTTTATTGCTTTTCCAGACATCCCAGCCAGAATATCTTCGCGCTCCTGGGCTTCCACTTTCTGAAGTACATTCATAAAGAGGGGTAGAAAAGTAGACAGCTCTTTAGCAAAAGCAATCACTGGGACTTAGGAAATGAAAATATTTTACTCGCTAAAAGATAAAGTTTTCTTTTAAATAGAAGTAAAAATTACACCATGAAAGTCATGGAAAAACAAGACCAAAGAAAGTTAAGTCAGAAGTCTTTCCCTGTTTTGTCCAGCTACATCTGTTGAGACACAAGAAGGTATTAACTAAAAGATGTATGTTTGTTGTTGTTGTTGTTTGATGCCGTCGAGTCGTAGACGACTCATAGCGACCCTATGAACGAACGGCCTGAGCACTGCTCGTACACAGAGTTTCTGGAGGCAAGCCATTTCGGAAGTGGATGCCGCTCCTGCTTCCAGAAATGATGTATACGGTCCCTAAATTCTAGGATCTCATCGTGTCCTATGGAATCAAGATCTCTGATGATAAACAAAATCCTAGTGAATCATAAGCAAAAGGCTATATTTAACAAATAAGAAGTTACTCTTTTCCATTGCTTTATCTAGAATGGAAAAATGGGTCCAAATACAAAGAAAGAATGATAAAAGTATCAATGTAGCTAGATAAAATTGAAGTTCAGTGTAACAAATTAGGATATAATCATGATTACCATTAAAGATTCATTTTACAAAATTATTCCTTCAAATAATTAATTTTAAAAATCTTGCAAAAATATAAGAGAAAAATGACATTTTGTTAATCTCCTTTTTTTTCTGGTGAAGATATTTTATTTTTCATAAAAATATAATTGTACAATTCTTCAGAGAAAGAAAAAGTCTTTCAATGCCCCTCAAATACCATGCAGTTAAATAGTAAACATCTTCCCTTTTAAAAATACTTGATTGATTTCTATACTATGCAACTGATTTCTTGTGAAATATAATATTTACATTTTTAAACTTTCTTTGCCTTTATTTCAACTAAAGATAAGCCCAGGTTAATTCAGTGCTTTCTATAAAAAGCCAACTCAAGCCTATCAGAATTTAAAGATGTGGATACCATCACTTAGCTGAGAGTGCTTTGAAACTGCCACACTCAGACAAATTCTGATTTAGACTTAACAAAAAGATGTATTTTTAAAAGAAGTTAGACTATATTTGACCTGGTCAAGCTTATTCCGTGTTTTATTAATCTCCTTTTTTGTGTATTTAACAGAAACACAATAAGCTTTGGCATTAGATACATCTCATCTAGAAATCAATCTTAGCATTACTACTTATATGTATCCTTGGGAAAGACAGGTATAATTTATTAATCACATAGTCTATGGTAGTCATTACAAATCCTCTGATCTCCATTTTATGGAAAGAAAAAGGCTCTCAGCAGATGAACAACTTCCCTCAGGCCTGATATACTCTTACACTCTCTGGGGAGTTCCAGTGCCCTAGTGCTCAAGCTGTGTTGCAATCTCAAAGGCACATGGTTCAAGTCCCTATCCCTTCCCTCCACCCATCCACCCACTCTCCACCCCTGGCCTGTTCCCCACTGCAGAAAAAGAATGAACAAATCTCCTCTCATGTGATTTACTGCCCCTGAAAACCTGCTGGAGTGTTAGCTACGAGTTAGTTCTGACTCTATAGTACATAACAACTTCACTAATCATCAAATAGAGAAGGCTATATGTTTACAAAGGGAGCACACTCCAGGAATACTTAGGGTGACAACTTTTAAATAGTGAAAAAATGTAGAGCATAATAAGTTTCGGGTGTATCAGAGACAGTGCGATTGGCACAGGACAGAGCAGGGTTTAGGGCTGCTGTACACAGGGTCGCTATGAGTCGCAAGCGACTCGACGGCACAAAACAACATTTCTTTTAGTATTGATTGTTGGTGATTACCTTGTAGGAATTATTATTTAATATTAACATCAGTCAAGAGCTCATTTTCCTTTTAAAGATAAAAAGGGAACACAGAACAGCAGAACTAAAGCACTCCAGAAAATCTAGTAGACCGTTAACATACATATCACTCTTAGGAATACAAATTCATTAAGGCCATGAAATAAAACTAGAATGTGTGGCAAAAAAAAATCAACAAAAAAAAAGTGAAGACAACTGATTTAATAGTAGGAATAATAAATGCAGTTTAACTTTTACTACAGATGATTTTTATAAATCAGATGGCCATACTGCTTACCATTAATTTAAGACTAACACTTGACAAGCATTAATGGCTTAAAAGTTGGAAAATTTTTTAAAGTTTATATTTGTGTTTTTTTCTCTAATTTTTTTCCTTACTTTTAAAATGTGAATTCCACCTGGAGAAAACTAGATCAAAGCAAAAATATTGAAACTTCTTCATTATTCTACTTTTAAAATCAACGTACACCTCCATTCATCCTTTATACCTCTATTCATATTCTACCCGTATGTGTCCTGGCGTCAGAGCCCACTTACAGCCAGCCTCCAGTGGCTATTCAGAGGCTGTAAATAACACAGGGGTAAACTGCCCATGCTGGTCTCTCAGAGCAGTGAATGGATTCGAACCGTGTGCCTTTGAGTCGGTAGCACAACTCCTTACCATGAGACCTCCCTATAGACACACATGCACATTATGTTTTCTCTTACCTCTTGCAATGAATCAGTAGCTAATCTGAAAGTCAGTTAAGAACTTTTAACTGATAAAAGTAGTAGGATTCCATTTCTTCTCACTGTCAATCCCTAAAGGCACCATTACCAGAAATAATTTTTTTATTAACTTTAGAAAGTGAGAAACTAAATTGTTATTAACATATCAGCCCTTACAAGATTAAAAGCACTCTGAGTGAGATCACTTAAAGAGAATTTTGTTTCATAATATTCCTTTCATAAATAGGGGTTAATAGCAACTTAACCTACATCCAGCTCTTCAACAAACGCCGCTAAGTCCTCTTTCCAAAGGTCTGAGGGAGATTTCCGTTTAACATCACTGACCTCTCGCCCCTGCGATAAAAGAGTTGCACATCTTTAACATTTAACAAGGGAACATTTTTAAAAATGAGTTTTTACATGTTTTTTAGTTTTATAATTTTTTAAAAATTTTCAGTAACTTGAAAATTTTAAAATTCAAAATCATTTTGGAAAAGGCAAAGCACAAAAGCACCACAAAAATATTTCCAAGCTTATTGATCCCACAAAAGTTCATACTTTTGCATCTCTCTGTTTAATCAGCTCATCAACTTTTTCTTTAGTGAGAGACCACAGAGACATGTTTAAAATGTAATTAAAATCAGGGCCTGTAGGAGTTCCTGAGTCAGAGGAACCATCATCATGCTGGTTTTGTGTTTCTTCTTCTTCTGTTGCCTGTAAAAAATAATAAACTTTATATTAAAGCTCTGTACAGTGACAAATCAACATTGAACTTTATTAAATATAGAATTAAAACTTTGCAAATACTATGCTCTTAACGCTACATCTTCAGGGGTTATTTCAGATTACCTGAACTACTACTTATAAGAGAATAATTCAAGCAAAAAATGTCAACGTTGTGAAGACAAACCATCCCACCTCTGAGAGGAAGGGTACGGAACGTTCCTATTTACACAGGCAGCTGATGGATAAAGTAATGGGTTTGCTAACTCCACATCTCAGAAGGAACCGAGTAATACTAACGTTCTGCAGCTACACTCGACTAGGTTTTCACAACAGTCCGTGGATGAACAACTCAAAACCCAACGTAAGGATCATCCAAAGACCAGTTTACAAGACATACACCGAGGCATGTTCAATCTCTAGAGAGTCAGGGAAAATTCCATAAAGCAAGTTTATTTTTGTGAGAACTCAGGAAACATAGTAATTTTAAGAGTTTGATAGGTTTGATTAAGAATTGGCAGGGATTTAAGTGTTGTTTGGGGTTTTTCTCTCCCCTACAGAAGCAGCTCAAATAAAATTATCCTTATATGGTGGTGATACTAAATTTCAAAATGTAAAATTTATGATAAGTGGAATCATCTTTAAAATTTTTAAAACAACAGCAGCTATTAAGGTACTCAGAGAATTTAAAATGTCTGAGTTAACTATGATATTCCATAAAGCACAACATTCATTTTTTTTATATCCAAAAAAAGTTTTAAATTTTTAAAATCTTAAAATGTAAATACAATTTAAGTACAATGATGTATTTATTAAAATGTGCAGTTCAAATATAGTTAGGAGGAAAACAACTGCAAAACAAGACCCTTCCTTAGATAAAAAAATTATAAATTAAAGTAAATACGCATATTAACAAAATGAAGAATGCTGCTCTTGAGGTGTCAGATGTTCAGTAAGTATGTGGATAATTAAAGATAAATTGGAAATTCCACAGCTTTCAAAACTTTTTACACTGATACGCTAGTAATATTACCAAGGTGTCATTAAATCTTATTTGGACCCATATTTTAACGCGTAGCCAAGACCATGTCCAAGGATGATCAGTGACAGGAAGCATGGCTTACGATAACTTAAGAAAAATTTTAAACTCTTTTTTTTAAGTTCCAATGACATATTTAGGTCTATTTTTTTTGGAAGGGGAAAAATAATCCATTGTTTTCAAAATCGCTCATCTCCAAATAGGACCTTCTTGTAACAGAGTGTCCCCATGGTTGCTTGGACTTCCAAAATAAACATCCAAAATACTGGAAAAAATCCAATGAGTGATGAGACGGGGGAAGCCAATCACTGGGCTTGCTCATGGAGTCTGTTTTCACAAGAAAGGGATTCTCAAACCCTAACACAGTTCTCTCTTAACATGACAAATTCATTAGCTTACTGTATTTTAAAGTTTTAAAAGAAATCAATAGCAATATATAAAGGTAAGAAGTGCTGACACAACAACTTGCAATTAAGAGTATAATAAAATATACTGAGAGTAAAACGAGTGCTTGGACTGGATTAATTCTAAATTTTCACCTGCTCCTGCCCCATTTTCTCAAATGATGGATAAACCTATCATCTGAATATGTTAGCATACTATCATTTGTTTGCATTTCAATGTATGTCTGTGAAAATATTATGATTGAGAACTTGCAGTGTAAAATGTAAATTTTCCGTTCAAGTGACGCCATGTAATATGGATGTTTTTAAGATGCTAATCTGATCAGTATCATATACACAGAATTTAAATGGTTTAAAAAATCCAATTTTAAAATGTCTACATTTTTATACATTTATTTTCTCAATCACAATGTAACATTTTAAAACTTTTCATTTCACTATATAAAAAGGCAAGAAACTAGTATTATTTGAGGGTGGTCTCAAAGTTGCAATGTTTTATGCCTTTCTGTGAATATTACTACTTTACAATCTGGCAAGACCAACTTAATTAATAAAATATCAGACTATCAATCTGAAGTCCCAAGATTTCAATCTCTGGCCAAAGAACTACCCCTGGGGCAAAATACTTGGTGCTTGACCAAGAACATAAAGGTGACCATTTTGCTCCCGTCTTCCCACTATACACCAAAACCAGAGCAAGCTGTGTGCTGACCACAGACCGACCAGTGTGGCATGACTTAGAGTGACACCCATCTGGTTCCCAGATCACATACATGCACCTCGTGAAAACCACCACCACAACGGACACCCTTTAACGGCAGGCTCAGAAACAAGGCCAAAGACACTGAGCTACCTTCGCACGCCTGGAGTCATTTCTCCAGGCCCTGGTTGAGTCACACTGGCCAAATGCTTTGTGGTGGGTGTGCACTGCCCACTCCTCTACTGTGTCTGTTCTGTGGATAGACAGAAGACTTCAGTCTCTAAGGCAGACGGCACAGCACCGTTAGCATTATGACATTTAAGACTTAGGGGCAGGGTTTCAGTTTGTTTTGGAAGTTGCTTTAAAAAGCTTCTCTGAATGTCTTTTTTTTTTTTTGTCTGCAAATGATTACCTTTTCTTGTGCTTCCTTCCAGGCTTTCACTGGGTCAGATTCATAACCTCTCTGGACTAACATTTGAATCAAATCTTTCTTTGACCTATTCTCTATGTGAGGGAAAAATAAAGTTAGGATCAAGAAAAGAGATTCAATTTGTATTTTTTTATATTCTACTGATTAAAATGCCTTCTATTAATAAAGTTGTTTTTTTTAACTAACATCCAAATTTTTTAAAATTGCATCTTACCGATAGTAATTTTCCCTTGTATCTTCTCTAAAATGAAACGGGCTTGATTGTTAAGCTTTGCAGACTCAGCTCCCAACATTCCCACAAGCCACTCCTTCCTTAAACCATAATAACTTAATCGTAAATCAAAGAATTCTTTCAAAATGTCTTGCACAGTCTCATATTTCTTTAGACATCCCATATGATCAAAGAGTACCTAAAAATGTAAATTTTTTTTAAAGACTGTGTAAGTTTGTGGTAGTATTTTTACCTTACATGTTTATAGTATTTAAAATCACAATTAGCAACAACTACATTAGCACTAAACCTAAAAGCAGTACAAAGAGCAATTTTTAAGCATTTCTTTTGTCAATTATAAAAAAAAAATCAGTATGTGCAAATGTTCAGAACCAAGGCAACACTTAATGTGAGGATAATTTTGAAAACTAAAAATAGATTCTTTAAAAAAATTGATTAAAATGGATACAAATCAACTAAACATTTATTCAGTCTTATTCATGTATGTCTGTGAGCTCTCTCCACATGCCCCTTATCTATTTCCTCCTCCTCCTTCGGTTTGGATTAGCAGATTATAGCACTTCTCCCCAGCCACCCTTCTACTGCCACACCCATCCCTTTCACTTTAAAAACAAAAATCACACAGACACAAAAAACAAAAATAATCTAAAAATCTACCATGACACTGAAGATGGGTAATCTCACACACACTCTCTCTCTCTCTCTTTCTCTCTCTCCCCCTCCCTTCTTCTTCAATTGTATATAAACCCAACCAAGTGTGTGAGGGTAATAAGTAAGAGTCGGGAAGAGAAAAGCACAACTGAGAGATACAGTAACGAAAGATGAGTGCAATGCATAAGAAAAAGTCCTGAGAGCTTCGGCTGTGTCATGTTTAGTCAGTGGGGGTGTGTGTGAGGGTGTGTTTCCTGCATTCAAATACAAAACTACACAGAGAGCCGGAAGTAAAGAGCAGAGGTTTAGTACAAGAAAAGGACTGTATCCCTGGATTCTTCAATCAATATGCACATAACAACCGCCTTCTGCATGAATTATGTATGATTCTTAATCCCCACCATGTTTCATGGGAAAACTGCATCCAGGCTTCCCTTAATACACCCACACCCAACAGGAAGCCAATCACAACAAATCCAATATGTAGCATGCAAAAAAGTTTCCGTAAAGAGTAGATGTAGTAAATTACCATGGAATTACAAGTAAGAGTAGTCTGAAGTTTGAAAACTTTATGCAGTCCAGCAGCTTCTGCTTGGGCAAGCTTCTCTTCGGTCATTTTCACCACAAATTTCACCGTCGTATCAGTATGATACTCTTTATAATCAGAAATTAATGCTGGTGTTTTATCTGTCCCATTTAGCATGGGTTCTAAAACTTGTTCTTTGTACACCTGGAAAAGATTTGAAAACAAGTCTTTTCTCTGTGAGAGACTCATACCAATCTTGTAACCATTCTCACCTTTGGTGCGGAGAGGCACTCCAGCTCTACCATCTCCTGCCCAGTCACTGACCTTCTTCCCCCTTTCCCCCAAAAGCCCGTCTGTTGAGGTGACTGCAGCTCACAGCGGACAGTAAAGTGCCCCTCCAGGAGCTGCCCCGTAGTTTTAGAAGCTGTAATCTCCAAAGGAGCACACTGCCACATCTTCTTCCTCTCAATGCCCATCTTGTGGTTGGCAGCTGCGGATTTAAAGACCCTGTCACATGGCCCCTTGCCCAGTCACTAGAGAAGGCGACATGCAGGGACCTCAGTGGGGAGAGAGGAGGCATGCAAGGGAGTAGTTCTGTTCTACTCTAAAGGAAAGAAAAAAGAGTATAAAGAAAACTGTATCAACTGAAACTGATAAAGGATGACATTTTTGTTATTTGATGATTTTGGGGGTGTGGGGGAGGCAAGGGTCTTAGAACGCCATCTAAACATTTCATTATCCAGCAAACCAGCCATTGTTGATCATGAGAAGAATGGAAGACAGACATTTCCAGAGTGACTCTAGGGATTCCTTTTAGAAAGCACAGGCATACACATGATTCTTTTCACAACCATCATAGTTTCAACCCAGATTTTTATCAGTGCTTTATAAGTATATCTCATCCCCAAGATACGTTTTGTAGGCCCTAAGATCAGAACCACATTTATAAGGATTCTACAAGTTGTAGCTTCTACTTTAGTTCACTCTTCAGAAGATAAATACAGCAGTATTCTGTGAAGGCACTCGGCTAGTTTAGCTCATTCTGCTCTATTTAATCAAGAGAAGCACATCCCCGCTGAGTGAATTCCAACCTAGGACAACCCTACATGTTACAGGTCGGAACTGCTGCCCGGGGCTTGCTCGGCTGTCAAGTTTACAGGGGCAGATGGCAAAGCTCTCCTCCGGCAGTGTGCTGGTGAGTACACACCATCTCCACCGTGCCAGGACCACACTACCTCACTGGGATAAACAGGAAGTATTTTTAAATTACCATTTGAATACTCAAAGCACAGATTCAAAGAAGAGGATCTAGGACAGAGACAGGAATGTTCAAACACTACACAGCCTTAGAATAAAGAGTAGTGAAAACCACCTTCGGATCCAAGAGAATTTCTTCCCACAATGGCTTCCCCATATGCAGGTTAAGTGTTTCTACTAACCTGTGTCCAGGTTCTAACTGGAAGCTCTGTAATCTCGACTGTGTTTCTATCCACCACAAATATTTCACCACTGACTGCATATTGATTTTGACCAAGTTCTTGAATCGTCCCTTTAAAGTTTTTGTAGTTTGGAAGCTGCAGAGAAAAGTGAAAAGAACTTAAACCCCAGATTCTCTTTTGAATGGCTGGCCCATATTTAAATGCCCCCTTAATGAATGATCTAGTGATACCAATATATTAGTATGACTGAAACTTCTCTTCCTGTAGATGCCATGTCCAAATGATTAATCTGGAATTCATCATTTCTGATAATAAAATCCAAACATCCCTAAATCTAACAACATTTTCTGTCTTCACAGAACATTATTTTAGCCCCTTATCCCTATAACTCTTTCTTCTCCAGATACATAATCCCTCAAACTTTAACTCAGACATGGAAAATCTCCTGTAATCTGGACATACACAATGTAAAATTTTCCTCAATGATTTACTTTTAGAATTCTAACTCTTCCCCAACATTTTCCTCAAATATCCTCCCTCTCACTATAACTGTCAAAACTGACAGTCATCTATGTACAGTTTACTCTTTCTTCCTAATATATCCAAGTGATTTATCTTCCTTCTAAAATTCATACTTGCTACTTTTTTTTTTCCTGGCAGCTTCTGAACATCAAACCCTGATGCTTTGTCAACAGACCAATAGTTTAAAGGAAAAAAACCCACAGGTTTTTTTATCTTACTATTTATCAATATATTCAATTTCAAGAAAATGTTATAGCATGGTGCTTCCTTTGGAAATACCTGAAAGTGTTTTAAAAGTATTCAAGGAAAAAGCAAAAATTATAAATCATATTCATAGTTCTATTTTAAGATACAAAAATTAAATACAGCTAAGAATATATCAAAATATTGTTTCTATATAGTAACTTTATTGACTTTTGTTTTCTTTGCATACTTATATTTTCTGTAATGAGCACTATCATTTTTGTAAAAACGCACTTTCACTTCAGTAAGAGAAAATTTCCAGATAATTTTAAATCATGTAGAAAAATTAACTTTTTCATGAGTTGCTGTTTTTTGCTTTTCCTTTTCAAGTAGAAGTTAGGGGTAAAAGAGGCATAAAAGAAAGTTGTATATCTGTGTCTTGCATGAAATGTTTTTTTATTTTATGCAGCCTTTAAGAACAAAATGATACTTACACATTCTCTGTCTGACGGAGATTTGTGTCTTTTATTGTAAGAGTAAACATCAAGTCACACAACAACAAGGTCTTTGTGTCCTACAGTATGTCCTAATATGAAAATGGTTTCTTTACTATCCAGAAAAGGTTAGACTTTTGTCATTTGCACATTCTAACCTGCCAGGTAATAGAAACAGTAACTTCTGAATGATTACCATGGGATGCGGATCCAAGCCGTCCAGCATGCGTCGGACGTTGTTCACGATCTCCCTCGCATCATAATTGGGGAGCTTGCAAGCCCACCCGGTACCGATGCCCTCAGCACCGTTTATTAAAACCATAGGGATGATGGGAATGTACCACTCGGGCTCGACTCGCTGATTATCATCATAAAGGAACTTAAGCAGGTTGTCATCCATGCTGGGGAAAAGCAGTCTGGCTAAAGAGCTAGTGAAAGGGAAAAAGACGGATATGGAAAAAGACTATGGTTTGGAGAAATAAAGCTTTATAGATGACTAAGGATTTCAGAGCTTAAAAATACTTTCTTAAGGATGTTTTTAAAAACTTCTATTGTGTGTGTCTTCCACACTTGCTGCTTGATTCCATATACATAACAATTTACCTAAACGCAATGCATCATATACTTTTTTCCGAAGGCGTAAGAAGACAATAAAAGAAACTGTATTCGATGTGTGTACTCGCTTAACATTGAAGTACCAGGAATAGCTTTTTTTGTTGTTTTTGCTTTTTGTTTGTTTGTTTTTATTTTAATAATTTAATAATGAATCATGTTATGTCAAGAATAACTTATCCCCGGGTTCTTGAACTGTGAACGATGGTGATAACGGTTTGTAAATTGCCATTTCAAGAGCTTAAAGGCAGGAAGAGCAAGAGCTGCTAGAAGATGTCTCAGGCCTGCCTCTGCCCATGGTGGCATGTGACCCAGGAATAGCTTTTTTAAGGTTTTCTTATTACTCTGAATAAACCATACACACCGTCTTCAGTCTAAACAATTAGGTTGGGCTAGAAAATAAATTCATTAGAACTGGTGTCACCAACAGTTTATAAACATTTATAAAAATAGATCAGAAGACATTATTCTATCAAATAATGTGGAACATATACTCTAAACAAATAATCACCTTTCAATAGCTACAACTCTACTAACATTTAATAGGTTCCAAGAAACCCTATCAAGCTTTCTACATTCTACTTTGCAAACAGCCACTCACCTTAACATTGTGAAAATGTAACGAGGGCTTGCAGCGTCTTTGCCGCCATGAAGCCGAGTCCCAAACTGTCCAATGGGCTGAAGTAAGTTAATGTTGTTACTGCCCACAAAGTTCTGAGCCAAGTTCACAATAGTCATCATTAGTGCTTGCTACAGAAGAGAAGGAAACAAAACCAAGTATTAGTATGTGGTACATGCTGTATCACTCCACTTGCATTTCTATTAAATCAGAATGCTCAGTTCTTAGACAGAGATGCCCCTGGGACTGCTATCTTACAGAGCTAGAGCTCGAAGCCTTCACCCACGTTTGCTGTAGGGGGACCTCAAGGTGAGTGGGAAGACAGAGGCTGCAGGCCAGAGCTGGCAGGACTGAGAGCTCTGTCACACCGGCCTAGCTCTCTGAGGCTGAAGGATGAGGTGCCAGTGAGCATGTGTTGGAAGCTGTCCCAGATAAATGCTGCCAATGTGAATTACAGCCTCCTGATTTCCCTAAGAAACACTGTGATCATCTGCGGGTCTGGGGAGATACTGACACCAACACAGAACAAAAAAGAGTACGACAAACCTAAAGGAATGTACACAGAACAGAAGAATTTTTATGAATTTTCTTATTAAAAAGAATAATCTATGTGGGGGGGGAAATGCTCCTTTTTCTGACATTTCCCAGAGACATTACTGAAAGGTGAAATACTTTACTGTGCTGGACTAGAATTCCTTCTCCTAGGGACAGGAGTGTATGTTTCCTCGGCCCTAATGCTTACTTCTCCATGATGATAAGCCGACATTTCAGCGACCGAGCCAGCCAACTGGGCAACCTTCACTTCACGCTTATCATTTCTTTTGAAACAAGTAAACAATACTTTCCGCTGCCCTGGTTTAAAGCCTAGTTGGAAAAAGAACAGTCTCACATTAAAAACATTACTTCAGGCATGGGTCCAACCATTCATGCAGTGTTAGCAATACCTTACATACTCAAAAAAAAGACGCAAAAAAATGTACTTTCAGACAAATAATTTACTACAATGAACATCTGAGATTCTATCACAATGTGAATATATACAAATGGATGCCAATTCTTAATATAAAAGTTTGCATAACACATTGTTATTATTATTATCATTACTATAATTACTGTCAGAAAAGAGCAAGGGAACACTGCATGGTTCAAAACTGGGAAGGGTGTACGCCAGGGATGTGTCCTGTCTCCATACCTTTTCAACCTGTATGCAGAACAGATTATCCAGGAGGCTGAGCTCTATGAGGAGAAATGTGGGGTCAAGATTGTTGGAAGATCTATCAATAATCTGTGATATGCAGAAGACACAACCCTCCTTGCTGAAACTGAGGAAGACCTGAAGTGCTTGCTGTAGAGGGTCAAGGACTGCAGCTTCCAATATGGATTGAGGCTTAATGTCAAGAAGACAAAGATTCTCACCACTGGACCAATTGGCAGCATCAGGATGGATGGTGAAGAGATTGAGATTGTGCACAGCTTTAGTTTTCTTGGCTCCACAGTCGACACTCTTGGCACCAATAGCCAGGAAATTAAAAGACGTATTGTGATGGGAAAGTCTGCTGTTAGGGACCTCTCCAAAGTACTGAAGAGCAATGGTGTCTCTCTGGAGATTAAGGTGCACCTGATACAGGCCATGGTCTTCGCAATCACTTGTTACGCATCAGAGAGTTGGACAATGACCAAGGAGGAAAGAAGGAGAATTGAAGCTTTCGAGCTGTGGTGCTGGAGAAGAGTATTGAGAATACTATGGACCGCTAGGAAAACAAACAGATTCATCCTGGAAAGGGTTAAACCGGTGGCTCCTTGGAGGCAAGGATTCTGAGGCTCCATCTAACATACTTTGGACATGTTGTAAGGAGAGACCGGTCCTTGGACAAGGACATCATGCTTGGGAGGGTGGAGGGACAGCACAGGAGGGGAAGGCCCTCTATGAGGTGGATTGATTCAGTGACTGGGATAATCGGGATGGGTGTGTCAGAGACAGTACGATTGGCACAGGATAGAGCAGAGTTTAGGTCGCTATGAGTCACAAGCGACTCGACAGCACATAACAACAACAACAACATTAATTATTGTTGTTACTATCATCACACTTTTTCAATCTATCTCAAAGTTAAAGTACCAACTGAGAGATGTCTTTTGAGTTTTATAATACTGTCCAGTGGTCCCAAACTCCTTTTACAAGAGTGTTTAAACAGTCCTTTTACTAAAGCGACAGTTTTAACTAAAATACTGGCAAACCATCAAGCTGCACAAGTGTGCTAAATCAGGAAAATCCTCCCAAAGCATGTGTGGTAGGAGAAACACAGGCTGTAGAATCTCACTAATCTGTACAGCAGTCTCAACTGAACTATTTACCCACAAATGAACAACTGACTACATTCACATGCCTCAGTTCCTCGTCAGTACAGTAAATATCACTGTCTAATGACGATAAAGATCACCCAGTAACGGATATTGATCCCAATAATGGAAACAAAGCATTCTGCTTACTCATCATCCTTAAAGGCAAATGAACAGTTACAAATTTTTCACCCTCAGAGGTCAAGGTACAGTAGACACAAACTGACAAAATGTGGTTTCTTCCTATGAGGATTTTACCATCTAATTGAGAAGGTAAAAGTCACCACAAAATAAGAGCTGGCATGGGAGTTTGCCATGAGTTTGTTGATGCTGTTGGGTTCCATGGATCAACTCCAACTCAAAGACATCCTGTGACCACAGCTCGAAGCTTGGCCCCACCCTGCGTCCTCATATCTCCAGTTGCATCAGCCAATACGTCAATCCATCTTGCCGAGACCCTCCCCCTCCCTCCACAGGCCCTCTAGTTTTCCAAGCACAATGTCCTTCTCTCCCAGAAATGGCCTCTCAACAGCGTGCCCAGAACGGGGGGGGGGGGGCCTCACTGTCTTTACTTCTAACAAGCTGTGTAAGAGTTTAAACTACACATCGTATGATTATCTAAGAGACACGAAAGCTGAGACTGTTAAAAGACGTCACAGAAGAGATGCGACTTAAAAGCTACCACTTGATGGATCGGCAGAGCCATTGGTAATTACCACAAAAATTAAGAAATAGAAAGATCAACTAACTTGCTCAAGTTCATAAGATGTGGAAAGAGAAGTCCCAGCGAGAAAACTAAATGATGTTCTACAAGCAACCAGTTTCTAAGTTCGCCAAGATTAAGTTTCAAGTAACAAGGTATAAAGAGGTGTTAAAACTTAATTTCTAATAAATACTTTAGAATTTTCTATTTAAGTGTTGCTTTACTTCTTATTTTAGAAGTTCTGTAATTTTTATGATTACAAGCTCTTGAAACTATGGGTAAAAGAATTAAAGATTTACCTTAAAGGACATTTTGAGAAAATTCTTAAGAGTTTAAAGTTTCAAATTACTATTAAAAAGGTCACCCCTACCAAAACATTAACTCAAACCCCACCTCAATAAAAATTAAAAAAAAAATTAAAAAGGGAAAAATTTTTTTAAAAAATCCACTTCAAAATGTCTTCAAATTCTGAGTCAACTCTTCACATGCTTTATCAAATTTCGAACAAAAATTTTAAAAGTTATTGTTAAGAATTACTTCAAAGCATATTAAATTAAAACATAGTCAAATAACATATATAGGTTTTTATACACGACGTACTCACCATCAACAAGGGATGGTATTGATCTTTCATTGTCTGAGTTTGAGAAGAGAATCAGTTCCTTGTTGATGAAGTCATTGTATGTCAGATGTTTGGTCGCAGTTCCATATAAAAATTGCTAAGAGAAAAGTCACCCAACAAAGCGGTCATTCCCACTGCGTGGGTTTTAGTCTCTCCTCCCTCCTCCCACAGAGCCCCGCTCCTCACGACTCACCTCAGGCAGGCCATGTAACCTACGCTGTCTGCGATCTTCCATGAAGTTTGTCAACCACTCTTTTCTATCATCAACCTTCTTCTTACTGAATGCCTGAAAGATTCCCCACATTAAAAAAGAAAATTCATCTCAATACAAAATGAAAACTTAGATATGTTTGTTTAAGAAGAATTACTTTTTACTTAAAGTGGAGGCACTCATACAATTGTGGGTAACTGAGGTATTTTCCTCATCCCTGGCATGATTTGAATCAAAATTATATTTGAATCAAGATGTTTTGGTCAAAGAACGAGGAAAGCAGAGCATATCCTGGGAGCAAAAAGCCCCAATATTAGAATTAACTAGTGTGTTGGCTGGTTGACCAGTGGGATGGCTGGCGTCTCCATGGCGGCTCAACCTGGTGGCAGTCAAGGCAAAGGAAGTATCTGGGGTCCTTTTTGCTGTGTGTTCCTGCTCTTTCTGCCCTTCCAAAGTGGGTGGGCGGCCCAGAGCCTTAGACTAAGGGGAAATAAGGAGGGAGCCTACAGAGCTTGCACTGGGTGGTAGATTAAAATCCTGTAGGGCCTGAGGGAACACTTTAATTGTTTTTGTTCAAACATTCTTCTAGGTCATATAACCCTGGTGTGTCCAGAGGTAACTTGTGGTTGCTGGGACACTCATGTGTCAAATGTGATAATGGTTCCCCACGGTGGACAGTGTTTGGTGGAGCTCCCTGATTAAAACAAGCTTGGAAGCAGGAGTGGCGTCCACTTCTGTAACAGCTTGCCTCCGGAAACCCTATGAACCTGGAGAGAGGATGAAGGTCACGCAAGTGTTGAGGACTTCCATTCATAAGGTCACTATGAGTCGCCTACAACTCTACAGCACTGAACAACAACAGTATAGACACTGGAGTTTCAAAAAAGACTTCGCAAATGAGAGCTAGAAAGAAAGGAGGTATGAAGGGGAGGTGGCTATCTGAAAAGACAGCTGTAAGTTAACTGTATTACCAAGGTAATGGCAGCATCGTCTTCAGGACCAGCATATCTGAACAAGATGCGATGCCTTTCCATATCCGCAAAATATTCCTTGGCTTCTTTAGCTGTACTGGTCCCCAACCCTGCACAATTGTAAGAATGAAACTGAGTGATGAGCACCAATGCCTGTTTAAAGCCAGCAGGTAAAAAACTGATGGAGAAACTTGTCATAGATGGATCAGGTTGGCAAAACCTGGACCAAATGACTGATCTTAAATATTAAAAAAATATCAGCAGTAATGCCTCTACACATAAATACATCACCGCTTCTCAACTGCTTTTGGGGTGGGGGGGGCATCTAATTCAACACTGACCAAGCTCTAATTTACTACTGGGTAACAATGGAAAAAAACCAAACAAAAAAAAAACATTGGGACAGATAGTACACATGCAATCAATCCACAGGGATATATAACCTACAAAATCCAGAATGGAGGTTTATACATTTCTTAAAAAATTAAACTGTAAGAAAATAACTACATATTAAGAGACTTAAAAATTCAAAGCAATATAGTAACTTCATTTAGATCCTGAATGAAACCAACCAACTATAAAAACGAAGTTTGCGTCTGTGTGTGTATATTCTGTTTTTTGTTGTTGTTGGGAATATACTCAACAGTACTCCCACTGAACAATTTCTACATATAAAATCTACTGACAAACATCTTCAAGTTGTACAATTATTTCATGATCTTTATATGAACTGACCCACCCTCATGAACATAAACTTACTTTGTAATACAGAGAGATGCACTGTATCTCTTTAATACACAGAGAGTAACACTTCAAAGAGATCTCTGTGTGTCTCTTTAATACACAAAGAGTAATACTGGCTGGACATTTGATGACATCAAGGAGAACAATGAAGGCATTCACTGGTTGCTATAAATATCCACTTCCTAAATAACATGCCTCCGGAAACTATGAACTTTGATAAATGTTGATAGTTGTAGCGGGGATTCAGGCCTTCAGGTCGCTATGAGTCATGCCCGACTCGAAGGCAATCAACAACTAAAATACTACAAACTCTGGGTGTTATGTCAGTGTGGCAACGAGAAGGGTTAAGTGAAAGAAGACTGATGAAAAAAGAATGATGGTTCAAAGTATGCAGGGAGCCCATTATGCCAATGACTCTACCTGTATAAAATTTTCCATTCTTTTTAAACAGTAATAATATATTTTAGTCTGAAAAAGATACATTTTAAAATATTTCATATTAGGGAGCTCTGGCAGCCTAGTGGTAAACAGCTGCCCTGTAATCCCAAAGGTACGTGGTTCACGTCCACCAGCTGCCCCATGTGATTTAGCCTCTGAAAAACTGCTGAGAGTCAGCTAGGGGTTGGTCCTGACTCAACAGTACACAACATCACCAACAACACTCCTCAGACTGAATAAAGCTATGACAAACATAAATTAGATATTTTAAAATACAAACCTTTGTAGTATTTTATTTTCCAAGCCTTCTGGTTTTCTATATGTTTTTTCCACTCATCAAATTCAGGAATACTGTAGAAGGAAAGTTCCTGCTTATTTTTGCTCGCCTTAAATTAATTAAAAAAAGGGTTTTTTTAGTCTTTCCGCAACTGTTTTAAGACAAGAGTATAAATACGCATTAATGTAAAGAATACCTTGACAATAGGGGTGATGAACTCTTCGAGAAAACCATGCTTCAGAAGGGACGGCCAATTGTGATGGATGAAATTGATGAGCAGGCCTTTTATGTGAGATCCGTCTTGATCCTAAACAAATGTTAGGAAACAGTTATATATGAAACATAAGTACATCTAAAATCTAATTTTAAAAAGCGGTAATAGAAGCAGGAGAGAGTACTAAAACTTTGGACCTGCACTTTATAAAAGCACTCTTCACTCTTCTCTAGATGATCTTAAGGAGCACTGGGGACACAGGATGAAAGGAGGTGCGCTGTGGCCCAGAGGCCGAACCTCCAGGCAGTTCCACTCCCACCAGCCACTCCATGCGAGCAAGAATCCCCATTGCACATGCGCCTGGAAACCCAGGAAGGGCCTCTTAGGAAGCGGCTCTGACAGTGACAGATACAACAAAGTCGTTTTTCTCAAAATGCAAAGAACGTCTGGCTGTCGTTAGAATCCTGGTCGTCAACTCCAACTCCCAGCAACCCTATGAGAAAAGGTCAGAACGCTGCCCTCCCTGCGCTCCTCTCATGACCAAGCCAGGTTCAAGCCCACTGTCAGTCACTAAGTCAACAGAATGCTGTCCTCCCTGCGATCCTCTCATTAACAAGCCAGGTTCAAGTCCACTGCCAGTCACCGAGTCAACACTCCCTGATCCTGCGCTCCTCTCACGACCAAGCCATGTTCAAGTCCACTGTCAGTCACTGAGTCAGTCCATCTGGTAGAGGGTGATTCTGTCACTGACCTAGCATGACCTTCCTCAGCATAATGTCTTTTTCAAATAACTGGCACCTCCTGTGAGGTGGCACCTCCTAAAGTCTATGAGATGAAGTTTTGCCATCCTTGCTTCTAAGGAGCACACTGGTTGTCCTTGCTCCACACAGATTTGATTATTCCTCAGGCAGTTCATGGAACACTCAATGCTCTTTACCAAACCACAGTTTAAGGGCACCAAATCTTGTCATCCTTATTCACTGTAAGACTTTCAGATGCATAGGAAGCAACCAAAAAGGGCCTAGCATGGATCAGGCACACCTTAGTCTTTAAACTGATAGCCTTCCTCTTCAGCACTTTGAAGAAGTTCTTGATGAAGATCTTCCCAATACAACACATCTTCTGACTTCTTGACTACTGCTGCCATAGGTGTTGATTATGGATCTAAGCAAAATGAAGTCACTGGCACCTTTGATCTTTTTTCCAACTATCATGATGTTATCTATTTTTCTAATAGAGAGGATATTTGGGGGGTTTTGAACTTGAGGTGTAATCCATACTGAGGGCTCCAAATTGAGCTTCTGGGTAGTGGGCAGGTGCCAGCCACTCCGACAGGATAAACAGCAAGCAAGAAGGGTGTGCTGCTGCCCGCTCGCTGCTGGTCCAACTTGTTCTTGTTCTCACTGCCCATGCCAGTTTCTGTGACTCTGGCCAGTAACGGCAGCCCTGGTGGCAGCAGAAATGACAAGAAGGTCTGAAAGCATCACATGACATCGTATTGCAGATCTCTTCGTAGTTTTAAGAACAAATTTTCAAAACAACTATGAGATATCATCTCACCCCAGTCAGAATAGCAAAATTTAACAGAATAGCAAACATCAAATGCTGGTGAGGTTGTGGAGAAACTGGAACCCTTATTCACTGTTGGTGTGAGTGTCAAATGGTGCAACCACTGTGGAAGGCGGTATGGCGCTTTCTCAAAAAGTTGCTAACAGAGATACCATTTGACCCAGCAATTCCACTACTGGGAATATATCCCAAAGAGACCATAACTGACATCCAAACAGATATATGCACGCCCATGTTTATTGCAGCTTTGTTCACAATAACAAAGAGTTGGAAACGAACCAGGTGCCCATCAACAAACGAATGGACAGAGAAGCTGTGGTATATTCACACAATGGAATACTATGCTGCATTGAAAAATAAGGAACTCATGCAATATTATTCAAAATGGGTGACCCTGGAGGGCATTATGCTGAGTGAAATATCTCAGTCGCAAAAGGACAAATATTGCATCATGCCACTGCTATAAAATGGGACTGATACCAGGGTTGAGGTAAGACTGAGAAAAACTGGGTAAATTGTGTATACTGCACTGAAACAGATGAGGGAGAGAATAATTTAAAAGCGATGTATGATAGGGTATTATGGTTATCACAAGAGTCCACAATTAAGGTTGCATAGTGGAATGTACTTGGGGCGGTGGGAGGGGTGCGGGGGGATTGTGTACCAGCGAGAGAGTGTTTATTTTACTTTTCAAAGAGAGGGGCAAACTGGGGTGGGGGGGAGGGCTGGGAGGGGAGAGAAGTACAGCAATGAATGAATGGAAATCCAAAATCTCTGTAAATGTTCATTAAAGTTATTAAAAAAAAAAACAACATATTTTACAGTTTTATAAGAAGTCGAAAAATGTATCTGTATTGCAGGAATTTCTTCTGTTCGATAGTAAAATGGTGTACGTGTTGTAAAAGTGTCCAATCCTCAAATATGTCTGATTATTCTTTTAATAAAATCTGGATAATGTTAAAAGGCTTCAGCCATGCCTGCCAGGGCAGCTGCCACCGGCCCACTACACAAGAGTCCGGGAGCCTGAGGCCAGAGCCATGTCCTGTCCATCTGCCTACGTCCCACCATGGTCTCGTGCTGTAGGAATCCAGGTTTTGAAGCCATTCTCAATCTCCCTGCCAGCAAGTCCTTCCAGCTCACAGTAACCCTCCACTGGGTTTCAGAGGCTGGACATCTTAACGGGAAGAGTCTCTCTTTCACCCTCAGAGCAGCTGGTGAATTCAAACTGCCACAGTGATAAGGTCTCGTGGTCAGCTGTGGACCGCAACCACCATTCAAACCATCAGGAGGACACAGGAAACAAAAGAACTGCTTTCCCTTTTTAAAAAAGCAACAACAAAAACCTCTGAGGGGGTCTATGGAAATAGTTGCATTTTCAGTTCTTTCTCAATTGTTGTTGTGTTTGTTACGTGCTCCGAAGTCAACAACAAAGACTCGTGGCGGCTGGACTGCCCGCGACGCTCTCAATCCTGCCTATTCTGAGCCAATCCCCCTGTCTCCAACACACCTCACCCCGTTACTCCAGTTACTGTGTCAATCCACCTCATCTGGGGTCTTCCCCTCAACCCCTCCAAGCATGATTAGTGCCTCTGTATTATTCAAGGCCTCTCTGATTTCCTCCAGGTCCAATTACTTAATTATGGACAAATACTAACCATTATTCTACTGACTGACTTTTCTCATCTGTAAACCCAACTTGTCTGCCTAGTTATACTTACCTTTCATTCTTATGACACTACACTTCTAGCTCTTGCATTTTAAAATTACTAATCAAAGACACTGTTGCCAAATGAAACAATTAAAAAATGTGTTACACAAAACAGTTCCATTACACAGGCTTTTTGTATTCCCTGTAAGTATTATCACTTTTACTTACAATACCTTGGAGCACATTTTATGAAAAGGCAAATCAAAAGGCAATATTTTGTTTTCAAAAATACAAATTTTAATTACGTAGCAATCTGCAAACCAACCTGATCGGTCATAATCATAATCTTCCCATAACGTAAGGTTTTCAGAGACTCTGCGTCATCATAGCTTTTCTTGTATTGAAGGCCGACGATTTTAATAATATTGTTTATTTCTGCATTTTCCATGATCTGTGTGAGAGAGAAAAGTGTTCAAGAACAAATAAAAACTAGGATTTACGTTTAAAACTTTTAACAACTGTCCTAAGGTATTAGTAGTATCTATACATCTACCTGTATGGGAGTTCGAATATCTACCTGTTTATGAGAAGCTTCCCGCACATTAAGAATTTTACCCCTGAGTGGAAAGACTCCGTATCTGTCTCTCCCGATCACTCCTAAGCCGGACACGGCCAGCGATTTGGCCGAATCTCCTTCTGTTAGTATCAGTGTGCATTCCAGGGAATGTTTGCCACCTGAAAGAAACGGAAAAGGACATATGTGCACGATTCATCTTATCAACAACAAAAATTAATGAGCGCAGCAATGATAACTGAGGACTGTAAAAAGTCATCTTCCACTGACGTTCAGCAGAAGTGGAAAATGTGGTTGTTGTTGTTGTTGTTATGTGCCATCGAGTCGTTTCCGACTCATAGCGACTCTATGCACAACAGCTCTAAACCCTGCTCTATCCTGCGCCAACCGCACCGCCTCTGACACACCCATCCCGATTACCCCAGTCACCGAATCAATCCATCTCATAGAGGGTCTTCCCCTCCTGTGTTGTCCCTCAACCCTCCCAAGCATGATGTCCCTCTCCAAGGACCCGTCCCTCCTGGCAACATGTCCAAAGTATGTCAGACGAAGGGGAAAATGTGGTACAATGTGTTGAATTACTACAACGTGAAAATTAGTACTATGTGAAATATGTGGCAACTTCAATGAAGTTTAAACTCACACTGAACGGAAAATCATACGTGTATTATTTTTTTTTTTTAGAAAGCACAGACGTATTATTTTAGTCCTTCAGTACAGTCTGCTTCTTCAAGACATATATGTATTTTATAGATCGAAAATTCTTTAAATCTCTGGTTGAAAAAACACTAAATACAAATCAAAATCCTTTTATAAAAACCATGTAAAATTGGCTCTTACCAGCATCATTAGCATCATCCAGTTTAGGAATACCTTTGATTTTACTGTACTTGACTGATGAACACTTCTTGTTCAGCTGAGTCTGAGCCTTAAATTTCACCCAGTTCAAGATACTTTCCACAATGCCACAGTTAGAAGCCTAAAAACCAAAACGGTATAACAATAAAAGACAGATGTTCATACATTTATCGAAAATTCACACAGGTCAATGTGGTATCTATGCTGTTTAAGACAAAATAATTGTTATAATAAATTGGAAAAATGTCTTTAACACCTTGTGGTATTTAAGGCAAAACAAGTACTTTGCTAACATAAACAGAACACCCGCTGGTAAATTTTACTACAGTCAAAATATCTCAGATAAAAACATTCAATCATTAATACTAAAAAAGAGACAAAAGAACAAAAAGTAGATTAAGTGCATGAGAAAAACTGTAATAAAGTGTATCATGACTATTCACTGATTTTGTTAGTAGTAACAGTAAAAGCTGATTCATTTCTCAATTTATTAAATGGAAAATTCTAGACACTGAATTGTCTAGAACTGTGATTCAGATGCAAGTTTACAGGATACATTAGCTTCTCGGTCAACAATGTATACGTATTTCAGTGTGATATTAACTACAATCCCCACTTCAACTTTCCTCTCTGAACTGTTTCCATCTGCCCATCTTCTCTGTCCCTTCCTGCCTTCTGAACTTGACTTTAGGCAAATACTGTTCTTCTGGTTTCATGTGGCTGACTGTCCTGAGAAGCACGCTCTTCAACACAGCTCTGCTCACTTCTGAGACGCTTGTTGGGCTGAAAGGTGATCTCTGGGAATGGGTCTGAAAGGTTATGTAAGAGCCACAGTCTTGAGGGTTATATCAACCCTTATTAGTAAATCAGGACTTTTTATTATTTTTAATTTTGTGCTGCATTTCATCCCACTTTGACTTGGACCTTCTTTTATGGTCAAGCATCGTTGGCTGTTCAAGTTTCAAGCTACTGGGCCCGGTAGTTTGAGCAGTCCATCAGTGTTCTGGGGAACTCTAAGGGCCCAGTGGTTAAGAAGGTGCGCTGCTACCCCCGAGGCAAGTGATTAAAATCCAGGAGCTGCTCTGAAGGAGCATTTTGGGCAGCCTCTTCCAATGTGATCTGTAGCTTTGAAAAACCCGCTGGAGGGGCAGATATAAGTTACTCCCGAGTCTATGGCCATGAATTGAGTTGATTAGTACTTTCAACAAATTGCTTCCTTGAGTCTTATTTTTTAATTGAGATTTTAATGAAAGTTTATAGAAAACTTGAATTTACATTTATTCAGTGTTGCACATTTTCTCCCTACCCACCCCCTCCCCCTCAGTTTGCTTTTCTCTTTGAAAAGAAAAAAAAAATTATTTCATTGTTATACAATCCCCTCACCAGTCCACTTTACTATACAGCTCTTATTTTGGACTCTTTTCATGCAAATAATACCTAATCTGTGACAAAGAAGAATCACTAACATGAAAAGACTATTGGGATAAACTAGGGAATTTACAAATATATTTCTTCTTTATATCCAGGTGATAAGGAACTCAAATTTATATACTGTTTCCTGCAGTGAATCAGCATCTGATAAGATAGTAACCCAAAAATGAAAGAAGTGATATATCACCAACTCTACACCCTAAGTTGACCCTTTCCAGACTGGGAAGATGAGTGTAACGGCTGGATTCTGCAAAGGTGTATTTTCTGGTTTGGGGTTGAGACTAGGGTGTGGCTACTGATTGCACTAGGGTATGAGCTGATTGGATTCGGCCTCATATTTAAAAAGCCTTCTGGGTTTTGTGCATCTGCAGGAGTGGCATCCACTTCCAGAAAATCTTGCCTTTGGAACCTCTATGAACTTGGAGAAAAGATGAAAGTTTTGTGTTCAAGACTTTCGTCCAGAGGGTCACAACGGGTCGTCTATGACTCTACAGCACTTGACAACAATATGGTCTAAGGTGGGATTCTTCCCTCCACATGATTATAGTGGCTGAATTTTAGGTGTATCGCAAAAGTTTTCTGGACTACCTGAGACACAAAAACAACCACTTTGAGAAAATTTAAATATTCCACCCAAAATGGGGGGGAGGGGAACAAAAGACAAAACCTAAAAACAAATCACTTCATCATGAGAAAGCTATCATACCAGCAGGAATTTTGGGGAACAATCCATCTAGACTATTTCTACTACCCAATTCAAAGTGATTAGAGCCTAAAGGACTAGCTGTATCTATTTAGGACCCAAACCCACATTTTGTGTGTGTGAGAAACCACCTCTGAAATTCCAGGGCTGGTACTTGACAAAGAGGTTATTTTTATGGCAGAAGATATAGCTGCTTTTAGGTGCCATCAAGTCAAGTAGGCCTTACAGTGACCTGATGACCAACAGACCGGAATCCTGTCCTACTCTGTCCCATCTTCATCATCTGTGATACCTGACCCACTGCTGCAATCCTCACATCACTCCATCTCTTTGGGGGTCTTCCTCTCTCCCTCTGGGCCTCTACCTTTCCTTGCATGATGTTCCTTTCCGCAAACAGCCTCTCTGAGCAACATGTCCAAAGTATGTGAAACTACCTCCCCAATAAGCTATAAAATTCCAAAAGGAGCGAGTGTGTGTACGTGTGTGTGTGATTTATTCATCTGTACACTCTCTGGACACAGTATTTTCAAAGGTACTTCAAACACATTTACTGATCATGTCAGTGACGTCGGGAGCTGAGGCAAATCTCTATCACATACAACAGCAGGTTACAAGAGGCTTCTAGCAGAAACTAGGACGACTTAGAACTTTGTGATTTGCCTATATATATGTTCAAAATATCTCAGGAAATATATGCAAAGCAAAGCGAGATTTTAAGACATGTAAAGGTGAAAAAGGATAACGCTCAAAGAAGAACAGAAAGGAAGCCAGGAGCAAAGGTGCACAGTCAGTCACATCACTGCCAATGGCTTCATCCTCAACAGGATAATGTCGCTGTTTCACAAAACGACAGTTTACTCCTAGGAGTTAGTCTGAAATATAAGCATGTTCATAACCATGGTTAGGAGAGAAACTAGTGGTGAACAGAATAAATCAATCAAGAAAATGACATAATCACATCCCTTCATTAAAAACTGGAAATAGCTCTGCACATCATCCGGCAACGCCACTCTTAAGCAGACACTCAGTCACCACCCAGGTCACTGCTGTCGAGTCTCTTTCACCTCACGGTGAGGTGGGATCCTCCACCTGGACTCTGAGGGTCTAGGGCTTTACAGGAGGAGACCACCCAGCCTTCTCCCACAAAGAAGCCGAGGGATTCCAAACACTGACCTTCCTATTAACAGCACAATGTGCGACACACTGTGCCCTGTCCCTGCACTTAGGGAAGAGGTGGGCACATTTTACCACAGATACCACTTAATTTCCAGGGACCAAACAGCAGGCCTGAGTGTGGACCCAGTGAGCACAACACAACTCAAGTAAAACTGAAGGTCTGAACGTACAAGGTACGTGTGTCCACGCAGGTGTGCACACAGGTGACCATAAAGACAAGTACCCATAACCCAGGTAAACCACTGCCCTCAGGGTGGCCCTGGTTCGCTTCACCCCGGCTCAGGGCAGCTTTGATTCCTAGCACCCCAGCTCTCATCAGCCCCCCAACAGGCTTCTAGGACTGTAAGTCTTAAAGGAAGAAGACTCTCCTAAGACTCTAAGTCTTAAGGGAAGGAAACTCTCGGTCTTTCTCCCACAGAGTGGCTGGTGACCTTGAACCGTTCACCTTTCAATTAGCAGCCCAACACATGAACCGCTATGCTACCAGGTCCCACGAAATAAACATAGGTACCTGAAGACATGGATATGTGTGTACAGGTAGTTGTGCTCGTTTGCTGTCGATTGCCTTCGAGTCAAGCACAACTCACAGCGACCCTATGAACAAACGGCCTGAAGCCCCTCTACAACTATCGACATTTATTACAAAACTTCCGGAAGCATGGTATTTAGGAAGTGGACGTCACTCCTGCTTCCAAGATGTGGATATATTACACTAAATTTCATTCACTAAGGAGAACAGGGAGCTCTGATGATGGGGTCTGTCTGTGTTACCCTACAAACCAGGGCAGCATCTCTCTGTTGATTCAAATCCATCAGCCGATCCCCGGAGGAAGAAAGGCAATCTCCTACCTTGTGATTTATAGCCTTTGAAAAGCCACTGAAAGGTCAGCTATGATTCGGTTCCAATCAGATGGCAATGAACTTGTTTTTAAAACAACAGAAAAGGGGCCAAACAAACTGTTATTCAAAGGGGAAGTTGCATTCAGCGCGCTCTAACTAGGGGATTACTGAACTCCAAGAATTCTACACTGCTCTGCTTTTGACATGGTTCCTTGTAAGTTTGGATTAGTCTCCTGTACCCTAAACAAAAACAAACACACTTGGTAAGTGGCTTAACCAAGTCAGAATCATACTCCACAGATACTGACCTTTGGGTGCGACCGCTCAGGACTCAAGAGAACAATTCAGTCATAACACAGTTCACAAAAATTATGATCTGTATCTGAGTGAAGTAAGTAGTACTGAATGGTCTTAAAAGCTTACAAGTCACCATCAAAGACATGGGTCAGGAGCCAAACAGCGAGGTACCCAAATTCACAGAGAAGAAACAAGCCTACATGAGCCACAACTTTATCTGCTTAGAGAGTCTCACTGGCTCACTCCCATCACAAAGTTAGAGCGAATCCATAGCTAAGGCTCCGTGAGGTTCTGAGGCAGAAATTGCACCGGAGGTGACTGCCCGCCTTTCCTCCCAGGAGCCATTAGAAGGCCTAGAGGGTCAGCAGAGCAGCACCCCATGGACGGTGCCCCAGCTCCCACCACTCAGTGTTCTGACCAGAGACACTACCATTGGTCCAACATACAGTGGGGGGGGTAGGAAAGGAGGGCATGGAGACACGGGAAGGCAGACAAATGAACAAACAGAGACTCCCTGAGACTACCGTCCTAAGGGTTTGGGGAGGGGAGGGGAGTGCAGACAAATGAACACACAGAGACACCCTGAGACGACTGTCCTGTGGGTTTGGGGAGGGGAGGGGCGGTGTAGACAAATGAACACACAGCAACGCCCTGAGGCCACCGTTCTACGACACTCTTTCAGCTCTACTCTCAGATCATCCATCAGCCAAAAGCAGCGTGGTCCACAAAGCAAAACGGAGAAGCTACAAGGTCAGTGTCCTACTTCAAAGGCACAAGTGCAAGGCCAACGGGCAACAATTACTGAAGAGCAAAGATTCAAGATCCAGAGATTAGGGAAATTAGAACACTAGAAAAGGAACAAACAGAACACAAAGCAAATGCAGGCATATTATGATAAATGTAACTAATGTCAGTGAACAGTGTGAAGAAACTGTCAAAAAGAAACACAAGCTCTCATCAAAAACTCACTGTTTTTAATAAAGGAAATATTTCCGTTTTTAAAAACTATGATCAACTCATAACAATAACACACTGAATATAAAAGTTTTACTCACTGCTTTAAAAAATTTTTCTGATAGTTGGCATTTGGACCCAAAACTTTTGGGCTGTAAAGTCATGTTTTCCTTAGTCTGAGAATCAAAAGTTGGGTTTTCAATAAGGCAGTTAATAAAAACCCATATGTGGTTTTTGACCTGATGAAAAAACCAGAAAAATAAAGGTCAATATAAGAACCTTTTTAGTCATTTTCTTAAAAATTGTATAAATTTACATATTTTATATAAATATATACACATACAAAGCCTAACTTACTTGAAATGGTTTCACTGATACCCCAGCTTTGTTCTTTTTCTTCACTACTTCAATCAGTTTACCAACAACTTGATCAACTACATAATCAACGTGTCGTCCGCCCTAAAAAAGAATAAGACAGAGTATCTTTTCTAGTTAACTGAATACTTTCACATTTTTCTAGCGTGAATGTTTAATCATCACAATTTTTTATAATTCAACATTATTCATTCTAGTTTCCAGAGGTGTAAAATGAATTCTGTAAAAGTATTAATTCTGGTTTCCAAATGCGTAAAAGGCAAACAATAAACTCCACTTAGCTGCAAACAGCCAAAAACTAAAGCCAACTTTGTTTTTAACCAGAAGTATGTTAAAAATAGCCCGTCAACCCAGACTCCTGTGCAGTTATGAGTAGCCATGTGACTCAGAGATGTAAGCAGAGATTCATGGGTGGGGCTTCCAAGAAAGTTCTAGTTTTCCTGATAAAAAGGTAAATATTTCCTTGGCTAATGTACTTGCCCTTCTCAGTTCTCTTTCCCCAAAAGCTCAGCTGGGCACAGAAGCACAGCGGGCATCTTAAGGTCCTGAGAATGAGAGCCACATCTAAGCACAGCAAATGCAGGACCCTGGTGGTATGGTGGTGCCATGGTACTTTCTAGGACCCCCCGTCGACTCCTCACTTACAAGGAGGTAAAAGCCTGACATGCTGAGGAACCAGGCATTAGGTCCCTATTACATGCAATTAAATGCGACCTGGACTGGCAGCAAGGTTGTTTACCAGTAAAGTAATCCCACATTATTTTTCAAAAGCCACCATGGAAAAAAGAAACTGTAACAACTTGAACTTGAAATGTGTCATGTTACCTGCCATTCTAAGATATCTGATCTCTTTCACTGGCATTGAGATTTCGAAAAAGACAAATTCTTCTCATCTAAAAGCATCCATTTACCCACTGAGCATAAAAAACAATGTTAGGCAACCTAAGCAGATGCTTAGACAGCTCCAAAGCAGAGAATGTGCTGTACACCTGACCCAAAATAGGTTTATCTATTATTAATCTCACTTCTAGACCTGAAATCCAAAATAGAAAACAAGGGCTATGCCATCATTCTAAATGCTTTAGAACATAAATATATGAACCTGCGTATACATAATCTTTATAGATATATGTATGTATATATGTGTATACACACACACACACACACACACACACACACACACACACACACTCTCATTTTTCAGTGGATATTTAAGTAAACTGCAGAACAGGTATTTCATTAAAAACAACCATCCTTCTCCAAAGTCGAAGGAGATTTAAGTGCTGAGGTTTTTTTGTTTGGGGTTTTACGTGTGGGTGGGATTTTTTTGAGATGGTAGTTATTTTGCTCTTTCTGGTGACAGATTATTTCAACACTGACTTGGAAACAAAGAAGCTGATGCTCACTTTTGTAGTTGCAATGCTATTTACAAAGCTGATTTGCTGGAATCCTTTTTCACTCAGAGTAAGACAAACATCCCATCTTTCATTTGCAAGCTCATGAATGACCTTCAGGGCCACTCCAGTTTCATCCAATTTGTCTTTCACATAAAGGTCTACATAACTGCGAAATCCATTTACCTATTAATTTCAAAACAAAAGCAGTATTGTTAACACTTTAGATTTACAAAGTGAGAGCCCAATGGCCAAGTATTACTACGTTATGAGGCACTTACAGGCAGTTTCTTTCCATTGAACATGACTTTGACCCCTTTGCAGGAACCTGCCAGGTCATAGGCTCTTCTGGTCATAAGAGCCACAATATCCTTATCAAGTTTTTCCATCTTAAATTTGGACAGATCTGGTTGGAATGTTATACATGTGTAATCCTCACCATCAAAATGTTTAATTTTGGCTTCCGAAGTCTTCATCATATTATTCATCCATGTCTGGAAAAATAAACCACAAAACCACCAAACTCAACATTTCTAAAATGCTTCTTTCTACCTTCCATAGTTAGGAGAGCTTATGAGGTATATTCCTTTACCTCAAGAACATTTATTTCCTAACCTAACAGCAAATGGAATAAATCCTTAAACTACAGATGAAAAATCTTAACCCTTTTACAATAATGTATTGAGAAACAGCTGCACTTAATAATATATTGCCAAAGATCACAGTTTATAAAAGTAAACAGGATCATGTTTTTTCTAAAAGAAATATTTACTTGAAATGTTTTATCTTCCAAGACTCATAATGAATAAAATATACATTAATTTGAGGAGTTAATGACTACGTTTTCAAGCATGCTAAGAGGAAGGCCTGATGAGGGTGGCCCAGGTCAGAACAGGGTTCAGATCTGTTGTTCACAGGGTTGCTATGAGTCATACACAACTCAACGGCCTCTTACAACAACAACAACAACAACAACAACAAAGGGAATAAGTTTCAGTGAGTCTGTCAAGTCCAGGTCATTTTTTACCAATATACTTAGGTTAAAGGAAAAGGATTAAATCTTTTTAAAAGAATGAAACATTAATGGCTTATCTAAAATTCCCTAGACATTCTAGGGCAGACAGGGTATATGATTTAGATGTCATACCTGTTTAAAACTATGTTTATATTCTTTGCAGGCTGTTTCAACTGTAAACTTTGTACTGAAAATATTACAAAGTTTTGCACCATAGCCATTACGGCCACCTGTAACAAAAATTGTGAAAATGTTAAAAGAAATTGTTTCAAAGTAACTTTATTACCTTGGGCTCACTTATCAATCCTCTAATGCACGTTCAAAGAGCACATTCAGACTTCTTTATTTAAAGTACACAGTTAAGATCTAGTATTCATATAGCATACATAAGCAATATTGCTTTCGGAAACGGATTCTAATACAATTTCCATGAAACTAGCTTTATATCTCACAGGTAAGCCTGCGTAACTGATTTATCATAGTCTTTTCTATCAAAATCACTTCCATGTTATAAATTTTTAATTTATATTGCTTCTTAGAGCCTTGGTTTGAAAAGAAACTGCCTACTCAAGCAAAACAAACAAGATTTTTTTTTTGGTCAAGTCATATTCAACTATATTGACAAAGAGTTTAGATTTTCAACCTTGACCTTCCTGAGGGAAACAATTAAAAGTATTTGGGTGGATCCCTCATCTGCGGCAGGTGGAATCACACAATGGTACAGTGATTGTGGAAAATGATTTGGCAGTCTCTAAAAATGCTGAACACAAAATTACCATGCAGCCTAGCAATTTCACTCCTGAATATTTATTCAAATATCTGAAAGCGGGGTGTGTGGAGGGGGAGGGGAGAATGGAACCTAGCAGATACTTGCACATCAATATTCATTGCAGCACAATAAACAATAACCAAATGATGGTAAAAATGTAAATGTCTACCAACAGAGAAATGGATAAAGTGCGTGTGTGTGTACATACACATACACCAAACATTCCTTAGCCCTGAGGAGATGAAGCACCAATTCATGCTACCACCTGGACGAACCTGAAAACACTGAGGAAATAAGTCAGTCACAAGAAGTCATATATTGTCTGTGAAATATTTAGACCTGGCAAGTGCAGGGAGACCGGAGCTGACGAGTAAGTAGAGTTAGGAAGAGAGTGGCCCACTCTCCGGGGAGGACGGGCTTTGTATTCTCACCCTGGCAATGAGCTGATTCCAATTCCTAACTCTCCCCCAGGTTTCCCAGGCTGTACACTGCAACGAGAGGAGACCGGCCATCTGTCCCCCCACACCCCCCAGGAGCTGCCGGCAGAGCCCACGTCTCCAGAGGGCCGCTACTTAGTAGCATCACATGCTTCAGTGCAAACATAAACCTGGGGAAGGTCATTAACATCAATGAATTAAACAACCTGAAATTAATACCAAAGTACAGGGCGTTCATGGGAGAACAAATGCACATACACAGGAATCACAGCAGTCTGACTCCGAATCAAAACTCAAAACTATCAATCAGGTTGGAGGCCCGGCAGTCCTAGCGTTAAAGTCCACGTGCTATCAAGCTGAAGCCTGTAATATATCTTATCCTCTATCACCAGGGTAATGCTTATCTACAAAAGCTGCTTTTTTTTTTTTTTTTCAAAAAAGGGGTACAATATATATCTCCTTTAGCATCTAAACTATTTTTCTGTGTACTCTGCAAGAGGCATTAACCATACAATGTTGTACAACTACTAGGTGCTTCCACAATTTTTACATCACTCCACGCAGAAGCTGCAGAAGCTCCAGAAGTCTGGTATTCACCATTAAGCAGTAACTTGAAATCCTCCACCCAGCTCAAGGCAATCACTAGTCTAATTTTGTATCCATGCATTTGTTTATTTGACTTGATACTCTGTATAAATGGGGTCATATACTACTTGTCCTTCTAGCCCTTAGCTTGTTTCACCTGAGGTGATGTTTTCAAGTTCATCTACATTGTAACATATATTAGAACTGCATTCTGTTTCTAAGGCTGGATAGCACAGCATTATACACACCACCTTTTGTCTTATCCATTCATTTCTTCATACACATCTAGGTTGGTTTTGCCTCTCAGCTATTTGTGAATAATGCTTCAATGAACATTAATGTGCAAGTATCTACGTATAACAATGTTTTACAGATATTCTAAAAAGGATTTTCTCCCAAAATAAAACTGCACAGGCTTCATTTTCTAGAATATTTTTATATTGGGGGGGGAGAGGTTAGCAAGATTTGATAAGAACTTAATTTTTTTTATCTAAATTTCAACGAAGGCCTTTACATCTTACCTGTAACTTTTTTCTCATCATCGTCATAATTACTGGATGTTAAAAGTTGTCCGAAAATTAAAGCAGGAACATACACTTTCTCTACTTTATGTTCTACTACTGGTATGCCTTTCCCATTATTCCAAATGCTTATAATATTAGATTCGCTGTAAAGAAAAAAGCAAAACTAGACTTTAAAATAATTTAAAGAAACACTGATTGAATTCCATTTTAAAAAAATGCAGAACAAAAGGCAAATAACTATAAGCAAGACGCTAGAAATTACTATTTGGAGGACACTGCTGTTTCCAGAGCTTCTACTTCAACAAAATATCTGAAGCTATGTTTCTACCCCAAAGTACGTAACTCAAACAGGATCACTGTGGTCTGTACATGATGATTCTCCCTGGGAAAGGATTCTCAACTTCGAATGATGTTACAAGAGCACTCAAGTTTTACAAATTAAAAAGTAACAAGTGGTCGATTAGAAAGGAAGGCTGTCTTCACAGGCCTGCGCGGTGACCATACTGCCAGAAGAGCCACAGGTTCTGCAGATTCATCAACCGCAGACCCTTTCCTTTCCTTTCCCGCCTAATGTACGTGACCCATGGGACAGGGATGCTCTCGAAAATCTCCCGTGGTCAGCCAAAGTGCTTTCCTTATTTCTACTGTAGCGCTCACTTTATAATCGCAAAGTTTTCCAGTGAGGAGATATTGCCGATTTTCACTCGTAACGGGTTTTTATTTTGCAGAGGCACCCCAGCCATCAGCTTTAACACTGAGATATATGGCGTAGAAGCTCCTATAGTTCACGCCGACTTGGCACAGGCAATAGCACAGACAGAAAAATTCTGTCAACTCTACCATTTAGGAAGAGCTCCAGTGACTTAGTGCTAAAGAGCTGTACTGCCAACCCAAAGGCAGTGGTTCAAATCTACCAGCTGCTCCAGGGGAGAAAGATGAGCAATTGTGATTTTCTGCCTCTGAAAACTCATTAGAGGGTCGGCTATCAGTCGGTTCCGATTCAAAGGCACACAACAAAGACCACTGTTTGGCACACAACAATAACAACTGTATCATAATGCCTTGATATCTACTTAACACAGAGTGGCTGGTGGATTCGAACTGTCAATCTCTCAGACTGCAAACCAGCATATACAAGCTACATACATACATGGATGGATTAATACCACCGCAAACATGGGTTACACTTCAACAATCTTGCTAGCCATTTCCCTTAAATGTATTCTGCTTAATAATAGACTTACTAAAGCTTTCATAACAGAACATGCTGCTCCAAACTCAGGAGTAGTTCATGTCCCTACTGCATGTTCAAGACCCTGGACTCATACCCATAGCTGTATCCACATTTCACCGCCACTACCCTGAACAAGTGCGTCCTACCGTTCGTCAGGAGGGCGCTATTATTTGACTCTGCTCATTCTCAATTCAACTATTTTCTTCCATTAGACGTTCTCTCATTTAGACGCCTTCTCTAATCAAAACCTACACAGACTTTGAGGGTCATATTATAATTTCAGCTCTCTACTCAGTCACGCTGTTTCTTCACTCTCCTTTTATTGAGACTATCAACAAGGGGAAAAAAAGAAAAGATGAAAAAAAACCCACCTCACATCCCACCCAAGAAACTCCATAACAACAAAAACTCTAAATTATTTACTGGAGCTCTCAGAAGATAATTAAGTCCTCTCACTTTCTGGCAAACATGTTCACAACTGAACATCTGAGTATGTAACAATTCCAAACATTTCCTATTTTCAGAGCTAAAAGGATGAACTCTAGAGACAGAGGTAACGAAGGTGTTACACAACAGTTTTTCCGTCCTAAATAGTTCCTAGCTTTGGCTTACAGACTGTATTGTTACTCTGACGCAGAGCAACCCTACAGAACAGAGGGGGACTGACCCATAACATTTTTCCTTGGCTGTAATATTTGTCACACCAGGTTGCCAGGTGATTTCTCCATGTAGCTACTGATGAGATTAAACCACTAACCTTTCCATTAGCTGTCAAGAGCTTAACCACTATGCCATCAGGACCCCCTCTATACCTTATTAACTACGTATTTTCTACAAATAGCTTCAGAGACCTTACAAATCAACAGAAAACAACTGTGAGTTACCCCCCTCTGGTCTCCAGTTACCTTAACTGCAGACACATGGTCTTGCAAATCAGCATCAGCTGTGGGGCTAGGAGAAGAGAAAGAGTGCTCCCCACACTAAGCAGCAAGACTTGAGGTAAGCAAGACTTATAGCAGTATAACCCTGATAAGAGTGAGACCCTGGTGGTGGAGAGACTGTGGCATTGCTGTGGATAAAGAATCCACAGGTGTGACCTGAAGTTTCTTGCATTTGTGCTGGCCACCATTAAAGTTTTGACTGTTTGTGCTGGATGCTTGAAGGAGTAGCTGACTTATAACCTGCTGGATGCTTGTTTACTTGAAGGCAAACCTTGCTGGATGTATGATGTGGATTTGACAGCTGAACTTAAACTGAAACCTGGACTTGCTGAGGGACTGTGCCTTTGAACTGTTGGGCTAAAGTGTGGACTAATACTGTAAGGTATCCATAGCCTCCACTACTCTCCAACTTCCTCCCTGAATAAACTCCATTGTTGGTACCATAACTGTGAGTCTGTGAGTCAGCAGTGAACAAAGAAGCTGTTGCTGGGGTTCTACAGGCAGCAGGAGACTGGGATACAGAGTCTTTATCTGCTTTCTGTTCTGGGGCAGTGAGGGACCGTGCTATTCTCATTCTCTCTGGCCCTTTTTGGAAAGACACTCAAGGCCCTGTACCTCCATGTCCTATTTTCCCTTCTTTAGACACATGTGTATTATTTTTTAAAAGAATAATAGGGGAGGTTTTTGTTTGTTTGTTTTTTTAAGAATAATAGTTTTAAGTCTATCAATAAACACTAGAAAAATATGTAAAGTAAAAGGATAGAAAGCAAAGTAAAAGTTAGAATTCTGTTAATGGGCTTTCCATAATTTTTTAATATCTCAGTGCCATCTGCTGTCAGGATACTGACAGAGTACTACTGAGAAGCAATGATGTCAGTCTAGAGACTAAGGTGTGCCTGATCCAGGTCATGGTCTTCACAATTACTTGCTATCATCAGACAGCTGGAAAATGACTAAGGATGACAGAAGAAAAATTGATGCCTTTGAGTTGTGGTGCTGCAGAAGAGCCTTGAACACACCACGGACTACCAAGAAAACAAACGGGTATGTCTTGGAGAAGGTGAAAGCAGGTTTCTCCTTGGTGGCTAAGATTTTGAAGCTCCATCTCACACACTTTGGGCATGTGGCCAAGAGGAACTGGTCCTTGAAGAAGGACATCATGCTTGGAAGGGTGGAGGGAAGGAGCAGAGAAAATGACCCTGGGTGAAAAGGACTGATAGTGACTAGGGCGATGGAGAGAAGTGTGTCAGAATGAGTGAGACTGGTCAGCACAAGGCTGCTATGCATCACAAGTGACTCAACAACTCATAGCAATAACAATGCCATCAAGTGACAATGAAATGACCTTCAAAGGGTTTTCAGAGGCTGTAAATCACATAGAAGCGACTGGCTCTCCTTCTCCCTGGGAGCTGCTCATGGACTCAAACTGCCAGCGAGGTGCCACTCTCAGCCTGTCGTGTTATTCACCATCGCAAGAACACGGAAACAGGCCAGATGTCCAACAACAACCAGGCAGGTGGAGAAATCATGGTACATCCAAATGATGGAATACTATGCAGCACTCAGGAACAATGATTTTGAAAATTACTACCTAACTTGGGAAAGACTGGAGGGCATTATGCTGAGTAAACTCAGTATCTTAAAGATAAATACTGCATAGGATTATTATAAAAACAAAAAGATAACTAATAAATTAAATGTATTAACATCCAAAGTGGGAAGGGATGGAAGCAGAGGAATGGCGGTGGGCAGGGGGAAACCACAGCGTCACACAATTTGGTGGGTGAAGTGGGGGTAAAGGAAGTGGGGGGCGTAGTTTAATGGTGAATGATTTTATAAAGTATGAGAGGAATGATTGTATGGAACACAACATGAATGAAGGATAGTGTGAAGCACAATATATGCAAATTTTGTAACAAACCAATATAAAATTTTCAAAAATATAGTGTCCTAAAAAAAAAAAAAATATAGTGTCCTATGCACCTCACCATATAAATACATTCAACACAGACAGGATCCAAAAACAAAAATAAGGAAAAATAAAAAACCAAGACCTTCAACAGCAGAGTTACACAACAGAATTATCAGGTAAAACTTTTTTTAAAAAAGCTATAGAAAATACAATAAATATCAGAGTAAAACTAGTTTTTCTGTATTGTCAATCTGAAACACACCATATGAAATTAGATCACTGATAAAGTTTCAATGTTCATTAAAGATAAATTCTAAAATCATGCCAAATTTCTAAAACTGTGTTTTACAGAAACATGCTTGTGCAAGTGTTAAGAATATACAGAGTAACAATATGTCTATTTTAAAATAATTGCTTTTACATACTATGTCCAAAAAAAATCAATCAGATACAATCTACTAAAGACCCAAAATATATTCCATAATATCAGCAATTCCTAATTTAGAAGTGGTTTTCTAAATAATGGACAAGTTCAAACACCGGTCATGAGAAGTCAATTTAACCCGTCATGTATCTGAAACAATGCCAGTAACAGCCCTCAGTCCTGAGACTCTAAGCAAGCCCAACAAGATGGGAGTGACTGCCCCAGGATATGAAAAGGCACCCACAGCATCAAAGAACGAGACATAAAAAGGTCTACCAGAGCATCCACAGCAAAGTGGAGACGTACCCCTGGGGTAAAAAGGCATGAAGGACTGAGGGCAGAAACGAAAACAGTACAAAGCCCAGGCTAGGAGGCAAAAATCACAAGGTCACAAGCAACATGGAAACCAATAGATGTGAGTCACAGACATTATTCATTTGGGGACTATTCCTAACTTAGAGCTTCTCTGAAATAAACTTATTTAGCATAAAAAATTTAAAGCAACCTTAAAAACATACTTACGGATCAATAGAAACTTTAATACAGGTCATGTTCTTATCCCGCTGTTTATTGTCAGCTGCATTAACTATAAAATGAAGTCATTAGATGAATAACACATGAAGAATATAAATACTACATCAACACAATCATATAAGCATCACTAATTAATTAAAGCTTCTACATGAAATAACTACTGAAAGTACTTCTAACTTCAATACAAAACTTTCTTTTCAAAAATTTGTATCACACAGATTACTCTTATGTAATGGTGCCCACGTGCTAAGGAGCTGCACTGTCAACCTGAAGGTGCATGGTTCAAAGCTCCCAGGTGCTCTGTGGGAGAAAGATGAGCAAGCAGCTTGCATGAGACCTACTGTCTCTGAAAACCTGCTGGTGGGTCAGCTTTGGGTGCCCTCTGACTCTATGACAGAACAAGCAACCCACGGGGTGGGGGGGGGGTGGTGTTTTGTTGCTGTTTTTGTTAGGTGTCATCGAACTGACTGCTTTTATTAACAAAGGTCAGAACCCTGTCCTGCCTCGTACCAACCTCACGACCATGTTTTGGTGACATACAATAGATAAAAAACATCTGCACATCTTCATGTTAGGGCTAAAGGCAAGAGTGAATTTTGGTTTTAAAACAAAAAACTTAACTTTATTTTTTCTTGGGTACAAAGAACTACTTTCTCTGGATCTCTATCAGTAATAGCACTTCTAGAGGTAGATCTAAAAAAGCAACTTGCCAATTTCAATTTAAATCACAAAGACAGTCTACTCCCTTTGGGAATCAAAATGTACTGTATGTACTGTAACAAGGAATAAACATACTTTTGCATTCATTAATTACTGCTTTTTTTATTTTTATTTTATTATTTTGTGTGTGTGTACCGTCAAACTGGATCTGACTGGTACAGGAGGAGATGGCCCCTCCTTCTCCGGCAGAGCATCTGGTGGATTTGAACCACATATCTCTGGGATTGCAGTGCAGCTTCTTGACACTAGGCCACCAGAGCTCCCCTAATTACTGCTTTTAAAAAAAATTTTTAAATCAGCTAGCTGTCATACTGAACATAAATCACAACAGAAATAGGTTCCTAATAAACACAGTGAAACCTAAAACAGTCAAATCAAGTAGAGAGCCAGAAGCCCAAAAGTGAAGGGCACAAAATGGTAAGTAAACCAAATTTATAAACCAAGCAAAGTTATAACAGAGACATCAAAGAAAATATTAAAACCTAAGGTATGAATTTTCTGAAGTACATTTATATTTAGCATAGAAGCCTGTCCTTTCACCAGTAAATCAGAAGAAATCTACCCAAAATAAAAGAGAACCTCAGAGGTCCACATAAGCCCATCACTGAGAAGCCTCAACCTGCAGTGAGAAGAGCCAGAAGAGAACCTGAGAGGGCCCTTCACTGACAGCACTTGCTAGCTGCCAGCATCTCACGGAGCTGAGAGATAGGAATGCATACTTCACTGGAAGCTATCCAATCATGTGATATGACAGGACATAAGCTACCCAATCGTGTGATACAACAGGACATAACTACCAATCATGTGATAGGACAGGACAGAAACCATGCAGAACACTGCTAAATGTGGCAGCCCAATAGAAAGAACTGATTTGTTGGTGAAAAAGCTACAAATGCCTACATCAGATTCACTGAATCTGCATGGATCGGACCCTAGGATCTCTACTTTGAGCATGTCCTCCTGGTGTAAGGCAAATGACCTCACATACAGGACCACAGACCAACTGTGAGTTTGCAGATCAAATACAGCACATTCATTTCCCAAATTAACAAAGTAAAGCCGAGCTGCAAAGACAGAGAGATGAAAGACAATAGAAGGCTTCCAGGCATGAATTTCCTGAAGAACACGGATATTCAGCACGAAAGCCAGAGCTGTGCCTATAAAATCTGTAGTCTAGTTGCAACATTTTACATACAGGGAAATTATGATAACGGTAATACAAATAAATGTCACAAACCTTAAGCAAGTACTCACCCAAAATTTCATCAAAAATCTTGTATAAACCGGGCACAAAGGTAACCTCTCTACAATTCATTCCTACGTCATCATCATACACCCACATAAGCTGCATTCAAACAGAAAAGGAAAGAAACACTTTTGAAAAACCTTTAAGCCCTTAACATCAACTCTATCATTAATACTACAGAAATACTTGGGCCTTACAGTAACATCAATTCTATCATTAATACTACAGAAATACTTGGGCCTTACAGTAAATAATACCAATTCTGCTATTTTCATAATGAATTTAAATAATACCAAAATTGATAAATTATTCATTTTGCATAAAAAAAACATAAAGTCAACTTTAATAAGACAATTACCAGAAACAATATTTAAGTAAAAGAGAAAAACAAAATCATATTTACTTTATACTTTTACTCAATCTATTTTTCCATAATAGAGGTAGCTTTTAAAACAACAGAGTTAAAGAGATCTGAATTCCAGTTCTTACTAGTTGAGAGATCTGGGTAAATTTTTTAAATTGAACTAAAATTCATTTTACTTGTCTATGAAATGGACAAAACAGCATCTACTTACCAAAATGGTTAGGACTGAATGAGAACATATACATATGTATAAGATAAGTCTATAACTGCAGTTCTGTTTGGTTGAGTCGACTATGACTCATAGCGACTCTATGAAACAATGGCTCTGAACTCCACCCTATCCTGAGCCAATCTCACATCTCTGAGAAATGATATCAGTCTAGAGACTAAGGTGTGCCTGATCCAAGCTACAGTCTTCTCAACTGCTTGCTATGCATGTGAGAAGTAGACAATGACTAAAAATAACAGAAACAAATGAGGGAGAGAACTGTTTAAAAGGGATATGTGATTGGGTATTATTGTCATCACAGGAGTCCAGAATGAAGGCTGCACAGTGGAGTGGACTTGGGCGGAGGGATTGTGTAACAGTGAAAAAGTTTTCTTTTTCAAGAAGAAGAGTGAATTGGGGAGACGGAGTTGGCAGTGAGAGAAGTGCAACAATGAATGACTGGAAACCCTAAGTCTGTAAACTTTCATTAAAATTAATAAAATAATTTTTTTTAAAAAAAGACAGAAGAATAATTGATGCTTTTGAGCTGTGGTGCTGGAAAAGAGAACTGGACACACCACGGATGGTCAAGAGAACAGGCAGGTTTATCCTGGACAGAGGAAACCAAGCTGCTCTTTGGAGCCACGGATTTTGAACTCTCCATCTCACACACTTGAGGTATACTAAATATGAAATGAAGAGTCATGGGTACAGGGGTGTGGAGGGGGTGTGTAAGTGGGGGGGTGTGGGTGTGAAAGGTACTATCATTAAAGTAAGCCATAACATTAAAAATGTCACAAAGCACCATGTCTCCTATTTATCTTGTTCTATTCTATACTTTCTCCTGAGAACATTTATCTCAAGAAGAAAAGTATTTCTACCTCAACGAGATCTTTACTTCAACTTTGCTAACAATCAAAGAGGGTCGAGTATTCAAAAAGAATATACAGAAATTAACATAAAGAAGATTAATTTGAGGCTTTACTGTTTTTAACCACATTGGAAAAAATAAGGCAGTTTTGCATGCAAAATGGTAATATTTATGATATTCTACTCATAACTATAAGAGCTTTGGTGCATTAAGGCTTAAGGAGTTGCACTGTCAACCCAAAGTCAAGTGGTTCAAATCCACCACCTGCTACATTGAAAGAAAGATGAGCACCCTAACAGCCTCAGAAAAGCCTCTGGAGGGGCAGCGACGCTGGTCCTGACTCGGTGGTACACAATAGCAAAGAATAATAGAACAAAAAAAAATGTTTACTAGATAGTAAAAAATGGGCGCACATTCCCCCGACAATTTCAATACGTGTTAGCCAGTCAATACCTGAGTCAATGGCTCCACTGATCCGATATACGTGTCAGGACGGAGGAGGATGTGCTCCAGCTGCGTCTTCTTCTGATACACTCTCTCCACAGACAGCTTCTTGGAAGGCTCAGTTTTGTTTGTAGTTTCTGACTCTTCTTTTTTTGCGGCATTGTTCTGATAAAAAAAAAAAGAGTCTAAAATTAACAACAAAAAAATCACATTTAAATAACCTACCACAGGGTACCATGTTTGTGGGCACATGGACAGGAGGCATTCTTCTTAATGACCAACTTGTCCTTCAAGTTCAGATTTTTACAACCTAAAGAGAACACGAAGGGGAACTGACGACACATGCGTCAGCGGATGCCTGGTCAGTGGTTTTAACCCGCCAATTACTCTGCAGGAAAAAGACATGGTAGTCTACTTCCGTCAAGATGCACAGTCCAGGAAATGCTACGAGGCAGTTCTTTGGGCTTCGAGGGTCATGGAAGTCAGAACCACCGTGGCTACGGCTCTGGTTTACTACTAGGGTTAGAGAGAACACAGGCCTATTACCTGACAGTCTAGTTCTTCTTATACTATGAAGAAAAGGTACAGCTTTGTTTAAACCCAATAGGAGGGTAATTAGTTGCTGGAATCACTGAAACATCCTATTTCCTATTCAAGTAAAAAATAGAAACTTTCCCCGACTCTTCAAGTTATTCATTTTTTGTAGTCCTTAAAACTTGCCAAGAAATCTGAGTTCTGGTCAGGTTACAGCATCAGTAAGTATGCCTATTGGACCAGGCTGGTCACAGAATCTCTAAAAGATCCAGACCCAGGTTCCTTGCCACAAGCTTCTGAAGGTTATATTAAATGGTAAAAAAAAAGTGAGTATGCAGTTTAACAGCCACAGCAATGGTTAAGAATACAAAGTACTAACTTATAAATACCTAATTTCACTCATTTGAGGTCAATAATTATCTAAGTATCATTTCTAGGTGCCCCTTCTGACTCTTGCTTCTCTGCCAGGTCCAAGGTGAAGATCCAAATTCTACATACTGCTACAGCAGATAAGGATCCCAAATGCAAATTTCTAAGATCTAGTAACTGTCCTACCTTCTCAATAACAACCGAGTTGAGCTTTCTCCCTCTTCAAATATTAAGACATCCACCACCAAAAGAAGACTACTATGATGGCTAACTTTGCCAGGGTTCAAAAATAACTCAAATATCATACACTCCTATGTTCATAGAAGCATTATTCACTATAGCAAGAAAAATGCAAACAGTTCTATGCTCACCAAGAAACAGATAGATTAAGAAACTGTGGTACATTCACACGATGGAATACTACACAGCACTCTGAACACTGATTCTGTAAAATGCTAAAGGACAGGGAGAGGGTAGAGAGCATTATGCTGAGTGAATTCTAACAAATATTGTGTAAACCTACTGTAAAACGAAAAGGAGAATCAGTAAGATGCATATAAATGTCCAACATAAGAAGGGGGAGGAGCAGGAAAAAAAGGGTAGGATTCAAAAGGACAGAAGAGTTTAGTGGGCAGATGGGGGGCAGTGAAGGAATAGGAAAGATTCAATGGAGAATCAAAAAAGGGGTAAAAACAGGCATAGATAAACGGCAATAATTATAAAACTACAAAGTATATAAATGATTATATGAAACAATGTAAATGAAATATTACATAACACACAGTGTACATGAATTATTTTTAAATTCTAATATAATAAAAGGATTTTTTGCACATCTTTGAACTTCAGTAGAAAGAATCAGAAGATAAACAGTGGAAGCCAAGAGATTTTGTGTATCTAAACATAAACAAATAGTTCCTCTACTATCCATAGGGTTTTGAGAGGCCTATGATTTAAGAAGTGAATGTCCAATCCTGGTTCCTAGTCTGTCTTAATCTGGGAGCTCTACTAAAACCTGTCCACCATGGGTACCTCTTATGGCATTAGATACCTGAGTGGCATAGCTGTCAGTACTACAGCAATTCACAAGTTATCTCAGTACAGCAAACTGACAGACAAGTGCTGCACCAATCAGAAGAATCATTTCCCCAAACTGACAATTTTGTTTGTTAACACTAATGGGAAATCAGTCTTCACACCAGGTCCCAGGGGCACTAGCACAGGCACAAGAGCCCAACCTACTTTTAATCACAAAGGCCCGCACACTGGGTCCTAATTGGTTTTAACAAGACGCATCCTGCCCACAACTGATTGTTACTTAAACCAAAATGATCAAACAGAAATGTAGAGGGTCAGTGAAGGAGAGAATCTACTTCAACTAGGTGGACTGACATGGTCACTGCCACAATGGGCTCTAATGTGTCAGGAAGTGTGAGGATGGTGCAGGATAGGACAGGATTCAGATATGTTGTTCACAGGTTGCTATGGGTCATACTAGACTCGATGGCGCTTAACAACAACAAGGCAAATAGCTTAACAACTCAATTTAGATATTACACATATATGACATCATCATTAACACTACGATCAAAGGCATTTATATCATGTTTTATAACTGTAAAACCATTCTTTTTTACACTTAAAATCACAATGCAAGGCTAGAATAAGAATTTAACATACAAACCCTTTGGAAATTCAACCATTCATTATAATCTCCCATGACATAAATTTTATGTAAAATGAACAAATTATCAAAAAGAGTATTAAAATTATTTTACTAGAATTCAAGTTATAGTCTTACACATTCTATCATTTATTAGATTATCCACTAATATTGTTCAGAAACCATTAAAAATAACTTTGGACAAAAGAAAATAATTCTGCTTCATAAAATCTTCGTATTCTATTTTTGCCAAAAGTAAAATTATTAACTGGCCAATAATACATACTGTATTTTTCAAAAATATCTCCAAATATCTAATTACGTCCCTTTGTTTCCACGTTGGCTAATTTACAAAAGGAAATCTAGGAATAAAAACATGACAGCTATCAAAAAACTGATCCTCAGAACAGTCAGAACAAGGATCATAAGACTTAGGTCAAACTCAAGTGATTATAAATGATAGGTGCTATGGAATGAAAGGTGGATTAACTTTTCATTGACTTAGAGCTGTTTACAGTTACTTACATAAAGGTGGTTGTTGTTAGGTGTCATTGAGTCACCTGTGATTCACAATGACCCTATATGTACAACAACTCTGAAACCTGCCCTGTCCTGAGCCATTCTTATCATCTCTGAGAGACCTAATCCCATTTCTCCAGTCATTCTGCATCAATCCATCTAATCCTGGGTCCTCCTCTCCTCTGCCATCCCTCCACTCTTCCAAGCATGATGTCCTTCTCCAAGGACTGGTCCCTCCTGGCCACATGCCTTAAGTATGTGAGACAGAGCTTCAAAATCCTCGCCTCCAGGGAGCAGCCTGGTTTCACCCTCTGAAAGACAGACCTGTGTGTTCTCCTGGCTATAATCATGCTAGTCAAGAGTTCTTTAATTTAGACTATTATAAAACTACTACTACCACAATGAAAGATCATCAGGAATGCACCGGACCAGAGATACTGACTTCTCCCTAGATTGGACTTCTGCTTTGGCCCTGATGAGACAAGCCAAACTGAAGCAGCACACAGAGATGGAAAGCAAGACTAAAGCTCACTCCCTTTAAAGAATCCACAGCTTTTCCATACACTTTCCCTACCAATTCCTCACTTCCCTTACAACCGCTCTTCAAAAATGAGCACACAGGTTAACAAACACATGGCTCAGATCTACCAGAATCCTAATAAATGCAAGTTGTCGCTTATTTTTTTTGGGGGGGGGGACCACACAAAAATTAAGGAGCATGGCAAATACAGTTTATTTAATTAGGATTTTTAACTTTCTCTATGTAGAATATATTAAATATCATATGACAGCTCAGGTTTCCCTGCTAAGGAGTGATCCAATGACATTTCATAAGTAGAAATGATATGAAGCAAAGATGCAATTGTTGTCATTTGTTGTTATGTGCTGTCAAGTAACCTGCAACTCACAGCGACCCTATGTACAACAGGCCTAAACCCTGCTCTATCCTCACTGTCTCTGACACACCCACCCCAATTACCCCAGTCACTGAAGCAATCTATCTCATCGAGGGTCTTCCTTGCTTATATTGTCCCTCTATCCTCCCAAGCTTGACGTCCCTTTCCAAGGACCGGTCCTTCCTTGCAACATGTCCAAAATATGTCAGACAAAGCTTCACAATCCTTGCCTCCAAGGAGCAGCCTGGTCTCACTCTCTCCGCGATGAACTTGTTTGTTCTCCAACAGTCCATGATATATTCAATACTCTTCTCCAGCACCACAGCTCAAAGGCATGAATTCTCCTTTTCAGAATTTCACTTTATGCTGTTTTGGTTTTACAAAAAAAAAAAGTACTTGTTTTCTTTATGCCAAAAAATCTGAAGAGTCTTATTTTCAAAAAGCGATTAAGTGTTCATTTGTTTTGCTGTGAGCCATTAAAAAAGGTGAGTACTCCTTCTATCATCCCTAGTCACTGTCCAGCTTTCTGATGCATAGCTGAACGTCAACTGCAGCCTACAATATGGACTGAAGCTCAACATTAAGAAAACAAAGATCCTCGCCACTTGGCCAATTGCCAGAATCATTATGGATGGTGAAGAGATTGAGATTGTTAACAGCTTCAGTTTGCTTAGCTCTACAATCAACATTCCTGGTATCAACAGCCAGGAAATTAAAAGACGAATTGCATTGGGAAAGTCCGCTGTCAGAGACCTCTCCAAGGTACTGAGGAGCAACAGCGTCAGTCTAGAGATGAAGGTGTGCCTGATTCAGGCCATAGTCTTTACAATCACTTGCTATGCATCAGAAAGACACAATTACCATTCATTTATATGGGAAACGTTTGCATTCGCTTCCTAAACAACATGCCTCCAGAAACTCTATGAACTTTGATAAATGTCGATAGTTGTAGAGGGGCCTCAGGCCTTTTGTTCATAGGGTGGCTATGAGTCATGCTCGACTTGAAGGCAATCAACAACAGACCAAAAACCACCACCAATCTACCCAACCACGTAATACGTAAAACTTAAACTAGCACCACGAGCACATGTGCTCACAGACACGGTTTAAAGCTGTGCAGGCTCAATGGTGAGTGGGGGTCACGTGCAGGACTTCAGCGCCGTCACTTCTGTTGCTAAGCGAGTACACGCACCTTTTTT